AGGCAAAACAAACACATGTATGTAGTAAGTATCTTTCTTAAGTTATTTTGACCACATTACAGTAAATGACAACACCTTTTAATGGATATAGGCCTACGTGTAAGATCACAATACTGACAATACGTTAAGTGGATGCCGTAACTAACATTAAACTGGTGTGCTGTGATGTTTAAAAGAGTAAAAAAAATTGCAAAAGCATTTGGCAATAGAAACTTCTAAATTAACTGTTCTTGTCAAGTAATGTTATTGATATTATCAAGCTGCCTGCAGTTTTGGAGAAAATTAAATTCGATGTCCACTTAACATTAGTTATGGTGTCCACTTTCTAGTGAATAAACCTACTTCTCCTCAACTTCCTCAAGCTTTTTTCCGCAATTTGATTTGGATAAGAAATGGATACCCTGACATGACTACAAGAAGCCCACAATTGCCTTGTTTGATATTTGCAAAAGAATGCACAAGTGGAAAGTGGACACCATGTAACTTACGTTAACTGTCCAAAAATGTCATTATAATCTGCCTTGCAGTGAAAAATATACGGCCTATTATCTTTTCAATGTTGTTTTCCATTTAAAGGGATGTTTCTCCCAACAATTTAAGAGAAAACTAACAGCATGCAGCTTTCATCTTGCTTCAGATCTCTAGTGTCCCACTTTTGGTTGCCAATAGACCTTTATCATGCTGCCACCATTTCAGTCATGCTCCCTGTATCCAATAACAGTACTGAATGATGTTGTTTTGTGCATAAAGGAACCAGACTATTTTCCTTCCAGCCTCGCTTTGGTTACATTGATTTGAATGGGGAAAAAAATCAAATGGCTGCAAAAGCCTGCAACATGTTAATGGTCTTCATTGTGACCAATACATTTATTTATTTATTTATTTATTACATTTCTTCACCCATGCAGTGCAGAATTGAACAGTTACTGAAAGTCAGCATAACTTAAGGTGATCACAACAGCAAATTTTGTTAACCTGTGTTTGAGTTCTTTTTAAAACCTTCCTTAGTTGAATGCCATGATGGCATCAACAGTCTGGTTTGGCCGTAAGGCAATTCACTACATTTTAACAACAGAACCTTTGGCAGCTTATGCATACACAAGCACATGCAGTCACACTGAAGGGCAGGAACCTTTTCACAGCTTGCTCTATAGTCTGTCCAGGGTTAAAAAAATACAACATCAAGGACGGATGGGGGGGGGGGTGCTTCAGGTATCTTACCACCCCCTTCTATCTGACCATCGCTAATGATCCACATACAAGGAGCAACTCACGAAATAAAGTTTCCTAAAATAATGCCAAACAACAATATTGCAAATCTGGATTCACTGCTTCAGGCATAGTACCAGTATACAACTCACAAGCTCCAACACCTCAGCCACTTTAATAGAAAAACATTCCTAGACCATCACCAAACATCCAAATTCCTTCCTCCAGGATTAAGCAATTATTGTCTATTGCCACCCACAGGACCATTACATAATGCTGACCTTAAAAGCCAGCTCTCTGGTCCAGCCAGCCAGGCCAGCAGACATAACAGTGGGTTATGTAGACAGACCCCTGCGCTGCATGATAATGTCAGGTAAGTAACACCAGTCCTGTCTGACTAGAAGCAGGTTGTTTCTGTATGGCTGGGAGCAGGGCTTGTATCAAGAGCACAGAGCATGGAGAAAGGAACATGTTTCTGGCTCAATACCTTGAAACCATAGCCATTAAAGGGAATGTACATCATTGGCTTTTGCTGTAATTTTCAGAAATAAATTTTTTGAGGGTTTAGTAAAATAGATCAAATATTGTTACACTGACATTTTTGAAGTTTTGTGTTAGAAAATGCTGGAAAAATCAAGAAAAACCAAAAATGTTCAAGTAGTCTGGTTCCCTGACTCCACTAAAGATGAAATGGATCAATTTATAGATGCCGGAAAATTGTACGGAAAGGGAACCAGTCTAGCTGGCCTGCACCCGTTCATGAACATGTAACCGATAGCAAACAAAATTTGGACTGAAAAAAGGCAAATTTGGAACAGTGGTTGAAAAATAGTTAGGTTTTTCCAACAGTGGTCGGCCGATCACCGTTGGAAATTTATACAAAAATACCACTTTTCTTGAAAACAACTTCACGCCAGGGACCATAATTTTATAGGATGCTTGAGACTGTCATTTACCAACATCCTAGTAAGGTATTTCGTACAAATTTGGTAGTTTGGTTTTTTGATGTTTGCAAATGTTTGTATATTCCCTGTAAAACTCAATGGTTGCATATTTCTATAAAAAAAGAGGCCCATATTGGAGCAAATGATAAAACTGAAAGAACTTGTTTAAATAATACTTTTTTGATAAAAACAGAGAAGGCATCCAGTTCACTTTCAGTTTCACTAGTGCTGTGCATTCTCAAATAATTTAGTATTCGATTATTGCAACTTGTGTTTTATCTAATATTTGAATATTCAACCATTGAGATTGAGGTAAAAACCAAATGAATATCATGTATGTATGGATATATTTTTTCAAGATAGCTGGCTGGCTGATAGTACTTGACGAATTTTAAAGATGCAACTTCTTACGGCCAATATTCCTCATGGAAACTCTCAAATCAGGCGTGTAAAATTGCTGTCCACAAAAATGTGGCATTTTTACATACAATAAAACCTTTGAGCTTCACAGATGTTTTATTGTCATCTTTTTAAGTCCGCTAACAAATGTTGGTAAAATTGACATTCGGTGGATAGGCGAATATTTGGTATACATGTACATTGTATTCGTCACAGCCCTAACTTCCACTTTTCACACAAAGAACAACCACCATTTTTAAAAAGTCTGGTTTTTTTAAAACAAATCAACTCCAAAAACAGCCCATTTTGATGGTCAACCTTTAATTGATATTCAAAATAGAGCCACTATTAGGGGTCCCTTGAGCACAAAGTCCATTCTGACAAAATCCAGCCTGACGACAATCACTGACAACACAACACCTGACCCCCAAAAGTCTACCAATCTGTCAAGATCACGGCCCTCATATTATTCACGGGTTACTAATATCTTTGCTCCAAGTTTACTGAAACAAACTTCGTAATGGGCCATTCTTCAGTAACGAGAGTGACCTTCGTAAGCTTTTTGAAATGTATTATGGGGAATATATTTTTGTTTGTGAATACCTTTGTATTAGCATAATAGACAACCAAAGCAGACACCTTCACTGTTTTTTTTCCTTCAAATTTATCAGAAGTTTATCGGAAAGTTTCATATTTTCATTTACGTGTGTGATATCAGGCTCACTTTCCAGAGAATGGCCCCAATACGCATCCCCTATGCTAACAATACAAGCCTTTAATTTAATTTTGAACATTCCCACAAATGGCATTCAAAACCTTTCTTCTTCATTGTCTCAAAAGTAACTTCAGGCAAGTAATTTGTAAAGTTGGTTATGGGTACCCGATCCCATAATCTGGAACCGGTTGCTGATATCAGCTGTCAGATACTCAGGTGCCCGGTTCTGATGCACATCCCTATCAGGAAGGTGGACAATAATCCATTCTCAGTCCCCATCCCTTTTATATATCTCAGAGAGTGCAACACTATTGACTACAATAACTGACAACCTTCTCCTGACAACGGACAGATGTTAGTTTTGTTTCACATGAGGCAACATCTCAAAGATCCTCTACAAACCTACTCTTATGTGTCAACCTTCAAATCTTATCTAATAGACCCCCTGGCAAGATGGTGTGGGGGACTAACACCCAAGAAGACAAACCAAGGACAAATAGATTATGATCACGCCCAAGAGAAGAATGAACTGATCAGACAAGCCTGGCCCAATTATATCATACAGCAGGTGATGCTCACCAGCGTGTGAACAATTTGTCTGTCCTTGAACCAATTTTTTTTGGATTCTGTGGTGACAAAATAAAAATCTTCCCCCCAAAATAGAAAATTGGTGTTCATGAAAGAGCAGCAGCTGAGAGACTGGCATGACAATTGTAACTGATGAAGCCTTTCTTACCGAGACTCAATGGGCCCTAATAATAACCAGTTACTCTCAGTGGTGCAGCTGGGAGGGGGTTGCAAGGGGGTGTTTGACCCAAGGTTAATTTATGTGAATATTACTGGAAAAAACTTCCAGTTCATCTTTGGTGAAGTAGAGTCATAGGATATTGCATATCTTGGTTAAGTCAAGCAAGGAAATAATATCCTACAAAATAAACTCAGTATCAATCTGATACATGTTTACTGCTTTACCATCTTCAGTGGGCAACACTTTGAGCAGATATAGCGATTAGCCGTAAATAAAGAGTTAATTGATGATTACTTTTTAAAAGGTAGTATACGTAAGTATTTCCAAGAGAACAGCATGCTGTAGGTCACCATATTTGAAGCCGGTTAAGAATAACTGATGACACAGTAAAACTTGTAATGCAAAGTCAATCGTAAGATAGACCCCATGACCCCCCCCCCCCCCCCCACCCAATGGTGCGTCAAAAGTGCAGCATGTTCTTTATGGCTGTGACACAAGGGTGCATCCAGTCATGATTAGGTGTGTTAAACAATTTATGGGGTGCGTCACTTTTCCTCAGTACCGTAGGTGCATCAAAATATGTGAAAGTTGGGTCAAAAACATAGCCAAATAGCATCAAAAATATACATTTGGTGCGTCACTACTCTGACTCAGGGGGTGTATAGATTCCATATAAGGATGACCCACTCTCGGACTATGACACACCATTCCTGGGTGTAATGGGGTGCATCATACAATTGAAAGGCAAAAAAACTTGAGACATTCTTAATGTTAGTTTTTTTCTTTCACTGAAGTAACTTTGTAAGTACTGTGAAATCTGTGCTCTCTGTAAACTTGCAAGAAAAAGTTAACAAGCTTGCTTTAGTGAGATTTGAACCAACCTCTTGCTTATTGGTGCAGTTGTGTCCACTGATCAGCGACTATGCTTCGCTGGATTGAATCCTAAATAACAACAGGTACCAATGATTGAGAAATTCTCGCTTACCTTGTCACTGGTCCACGTTTATTGAGCGCCGCCGATGTTGGCCAGCCAGCCAGTCTTCAGAGAGCCAAACTTGGAGTAGAGGGAGGAAGGGGCGGTGCGAGACTTGTGGAGAATGGGAGGTGGGGAGGACGGGTCCTGATGGTGGATGACTGCTGGGGATGCAGGCTGTATGGAGAGAGAGATCAAGGTGATGGGAATAAAAAGGGTCATTTCTTAAAATAGAATGAAGCTCATTTAGGGACTGGTAAGTTAGTGATGTGAATGTGTGTTGACCTCATTGCAAGTCATCACAGTGCAATCACAAGTCATCCATTCTCATGTCAAGTCACAAATGAACTTTGACGAAGGTATTCCTTTACCACTGTAAACTATTCATTTATCATTACTGTTAATTCTTGATCTGCCTGGAGGTCAACTTGTGATTGACTTGATGATAATTCTAATTACAATTCATTTTGCCTTTTAGAACGATCCTTCTGGGCTTGAGACATCGAACCCTCTAATGCTTTTGATTTGTATATTTTAGGTCAGTCCTGTCATGAAGCAGTTTGCAGCAGCTTCATCCAATTTTATAATTATAATTCTACTGTAAGGTTGAACCAAAAGAATTTGACTGTGGTGGGGTTATCTGCAGTCGGAACAAAGCCCAGTTTTCAGAAATGGACCAAAATGTTACATAAGTTGGGACACAAACAAAGTCCATGAGGCTTTGATAAGTTACATACATTTCAGAACCAAAGTATTCTTGATATATATTGATTTGGCGTGAGTCTGGAATGCGTGTATGAAACGAGTGTCAAGGTTGTCCTAGTTGAAGACAGCTTTGTCAGGTCTACCTACATGTGGCAGCGGCCGTGGGAGCGTCCTCTGCATTGACTGTGATGAGCTGGTACTGAGAGGCAGTAGGCTGAAGCGACCCTGACTGCTTGCCAAGGGTAGCACGTTATGCTGCTCCTGGTAGCCTGATGGCACGGCGCGGTGAGAGGAATACAGGTGCTTGTCAGGGCTGGCCAGAGCACCCAACAGCATCTGTAGGTGGGATGTGAAGGTGGGAATCCAAATTTAAATTGGTCAACTTTCAGCACAAGTTTTACACTCCGTTTAAACATTTAGCCAACACTTCACAAAGGCTGCCCCAGAACAGGGTTCCATTAAAATAAAATTCATTGACTTTGCCAGAACAAAATTAGGGCTTTCCTTGGCCAATTCGTACGCTGTTTTGGCATCTTAGGAGCCTATTTACAATACATTGGCCACTCATCACACTGAGGCAAGGAGCACCATTCCCTTTCACTTTTCAGCCTTGTGTATTGAAAACATCAAATGCAATAAATTGCATACAATGGTGGCAGCCTTTGTGAAGTTACCTGTTGGTCATTGAAATATCATTGGGATGTGATCGAGTACAAAGTTATTCTCACGCTTCGCAAATTATAAAGAGGTTAAAAGGGCAATCTCTGTAAGTGCCACAGGGCCACATATGATTGATAGAAACAGGGGTCTGTATGTACCACATTTAAATGGCAACAAAAATAGTTTCAACTTTTCCAAGGTTAAAATGTGGATAGTCAGTTTGGATGGCATTAATTTAGAGTTTTACGGTCCTGTTAAATGTACATACCGTGCATCTCTGAGTGTGCCTGTTAAGGTTGGTCTGTAGATGAGGCAGAAAGACGTCCAGATCAAACGGATCGATGACATTCTCTAAGCGGTCTACTAACCTCTGAACGTTGTCTTTGTGAACTGAGTTCTTCTGCAGATAAATTAGGTGAAAATACCCCCAAAGAGTCTAGTTAGGAACGTTTGTTTAGCTGAGAACAAGGATGGACACGACTCTGTCTAAAATATTGTTGTACTTGAGTGGAAAAGCAGTGTTGTGAAGATTACTTTTATCTGAGTACAGAGTACAAAGTATCGATAAAACAGAGCATGTGCATCTCCAAGTAGGCACATCCATTTCATTAAAAACAAAATCGAGTCCTTTGAGTACAAGTACTTTGATGACGGAGTACGATATCGAATAGTCAAGTAATGTGAATTTGAGTCGGAGTATTTTAATATTAGAGAACAAATGTGAGTAATGAGTATTCTCAAATAGTACTCGAGCATGAGTACCGAGTAGGAGTACTACAACACTGTGGAAAATGTGCCGAGTGTTCTGAGTTAGGCCTTTCCCCCAATGCTAACTGTACTTAGATGCCAAAAAGAGGACTATTGAGAGTGTAAAAACTGATGTCAACGTTTTCCAAAAAAAGAGGCTTCGCTGTAATCTTACGGTAGTAAACTGCATCGTGCATAACTCCTGTTGTATTTTAGCTTCAGCATAAACACAAAGGGACATTAATCAAACTTTTACCACATTTTTCTGGTCAGATTTGTACAGTCCGTGCATTCTGAGTGCATGTTACAACTCAAAACGAGATTGTGCTAGGTTTTATTTTTGTTCAAGCAGTTTTCGCACTGAATTTCAACAACTATTATACTGTACTAGGAACAAGAGGAAGGGGTTGTCAACAAACTTTGCAGGGAATTGTAGCGTCCTGGGAATCAACCGATATCTTACCTTGGCATCCTCTCCACGTCCAGACATGATGGTGGCAACAAAGCGGACATCAAAGAGTAGCTGGAGGGCCTGAGGCTGGGACAGGATCAGCCGAGACCCCTTACTGCAGTGACCATCAAGGTGCTTCTTGTACAGACTCAGGATACTGTCACTGGTGTGTTGGATCAGACCTGACAGGATCATGCTGGGATTGGTTGGAAGCCAAGGGGAAAGACGGAGATGAAAACGACTAAATGTCAACAAGCTAAATACTGCACAGGGCTCAAATTATTCTTGCTTTGCCAAATTCAGCTGAGAAACCAGTCCTGGACAGTTTACATTGCATGGTTAGTTTTTGCATGGCAAACATTATTTGCGCTAAGCATATATCTGTGCTTGGCAGCCTCATGAAATATTTCTTTCAATATCATTGCTTTTAGTATAAGCAAATTTGATATTAGCTTTTGCCTTTCACCGATGTATGAATAGTTGAGAAGCGTTATAAATTTCGTAATCAAACAAGAAATGAACAGACATGATGAAAACCAGCTAAACAGTAATAAACGTTAGGTACAGGGTATTCAAAGCGAATTAGTTTTGCTCCCTTAGCTTTGGACAGACAAACACGTGAGGCATCTCAAGCATTGTCCACCTGCACTCAATTAAGGACATTGGTAAAAACAGGAGAGCCTTTTAATGCCTCATTTCATAGTCCAGTAATGGGTATCATGCACGCATGCATGCATATCAGACATTTTTTTGGACATTCGGATTGCTTAATCAAGACATCACAAACGGGACTTAAAGGATGCGTCAATTGGCCAAGCACCTGTAATTGATATAAACTTCAATATCCACAATAGCTCACTGAAAAGCTCATATTTGTGAAAATCTTACCGAGACAAAGCATGGCCACCAACTCTGTTGATCTCTTCACACAGTGAGTACAGCACAGTTTGGACATACCATGATGCCTGGATGTGAAAATAAAAGAATAATAAATGTATATGACAGGATTCTGATGTCACCACTGACTGCGACTCATCTACTGTCCTACTGTCAATGACATGGTCAGGACTTTTACCCAGTCTCGTTTGATAAGCTCCAAGATCAGTGAAATTGGCACTGAGAGGAGGACTGCAAAAGCCAATGTCAACCATCCTGCATCTCTTCCTGTGACTGTGTGGCACCAGGGTCAAATATTGCTGCTGATGTCACTGCCACTGTAATTAAACCAGGGGTAAGATTGCGGGAAAATGAAAATCCACAGAATAATTGCCTGAGGGTTTGAGAGTCGCCGAGGGCCCCAGAGCAATGTAGGGTCTATGGGATATGTTTGTATTTGCCTAAAGGCATCCCTTAAATACCCACGTATTTTGTCCCGTACAGGTAAAACATCTTTAAGGTAAATACACAGAAATTTCAGATTTCAAAAGAGGTTCTTTAAAAATCTTGAAATCGGCAAAATCCTGACAAACCACACCCCTGTTTAACACACTTGTTAAGACTAACAGGGATGCATAAATACTTAAAGACAGTTTACCCATTCCTATTGAGTCGAGAGCCCGTCACGTGGCCGATTTTAAACGGTTGATAAAGACATGGCTGGCTGGTCTTAAAACACTTTTCCAGTGTCAAATGAAATTTTGACTCGTATGAAATCCGGTGCCAAAACAGTTTTATTGGTTGAACGTTCACAATTCTCACGTAGGCATGTGCAAAACTAGAGTCAGTATTTCATAGTCCTAAATTCACAATACACCGGTACATCTGCGTTGTGCGCCACATCACGCAGTACACGCGACGCGCGAGTCAATCTCCATATATTAGGAGTTGTTTACCAGAGGGCCTTACCATTGTAAAGCTAGAGGGGTATTTTGTGGATTGAAATCTTGAAAATTTATTATTCTGACTTGTTTTGACTTTTGGACCGAAAAGTTTTGATTTTTTGACCGAAAAGTTATCGATGAATGGGAATAAACATGTGCTTGGTCGGTATTAAACACTCTGTTTAAGACTGGTTGGCTCGGGTAATTATCAGCATCCAGACTCCAACCGGTCTTAAACAGAGTGTTCAAAACCTTATTAATAAATGTTACAACTTGAAGTCAGACTTTGGAAGCCAATGCAAACTGTCATTGTCACTGCTAGTGCCACTTTAAGGCTCTCTTGCTGGCTTCCATTTACACCAGTAGACTGTGTAAGTCACCTACTTCCTTACCTCTTACTATGAATCATGTCATTGCCAGCGTCATTGCCAGTGTCATTGCCAGTGCCATTGCCAGTGTCATTGTCAATGTCAATGCTGTTCACTCAGGTCACATTATTCCTTAACCCTTTAGTCACTATAGCACCCAAAACTGCCCGAGCACTCTATGGTTTGATTGATTCTTCAGTAAATAAACACAATGTAATACAATGTAGTACATGTGCTAATGGGTCAAACCTTTCAGAGCAAAGGGCGGTCACTACCAACCGTCCAAGAAACATTATAATCTGTGCATATGATCCAAATAATCCATGTATTCAAGGGTTTATGAGTACTTACCTGCACAGGTAAGTGGACCTTGGAGGTCACCCTCTTGCCTTCTTCCGACTCTTCTTGTATCTCAATGGCATCCCAATGCTAAAAAAAACGACATCAAAGAAACTTAGATCTAAATATCTTAAATACTGCTGAAAGAATTTCAACAACAATAAAGATAAACCAATTTTGGAAGCTTTACTACGAAATTTAAGTTTTTTACAACACCACCAACTAACATTGGGAAATTTACACTCTCATGCTATTCTGCGTAGCTTTGCAGCAATTTTAAGGTGACAGGTTGCAATCAACCAATGGTATCAAATTCTATAGTGATTAGAGTAAAGTGTCTTACTCAAGGACACACATATGTGGCTATGCGCTCAGGATTAAAGCCCCGTAGTATGCCTGAGATTCAAACTTCTCAATAGCATGTATGCTTCATACAACTATCCAGCCAAGCATTACAGACTGACATTCATCGATGATGTCACTTACCGTAGCGGCCTTCAGAGCTGCCTCACTGCTGGAGTCCGTCAGGCACTTGCTGAAATCAGCCAAGACCCTGGATGCAGTGAAATCACTCCACACCCTGCACACAACATGGGTAGAGTGGAATTGAAGTTGAGACTTACATGGAAGCTTAGCTAGAATTGCAATCGAGTAAACTCACAAGCCAATCATTCATTCATTCATTCGTTAGACATACTGGCATTTGCCCGTGGTCTCCTCCTCAAATTATACACAGTTGAGATCACTGGCGCCGCTCCCACCACAGTCAATCATTGGTCAATTATTGTCGCTGAATGTGAAAACTGCTCATGGACCACCTACTACTTTCCTATAGAAATAGGAGGCAATACAATGCTCCCTGCCAAAATGCCTTGCAGCACTGAACAAACCAAAAGGGAAGAGAAAATTTTGAACCATGCAGCCAAAACAGCATTAAGAGAATGCTATGTAATATGGCCCAGTAGAAATTCTGAAGCTTTCCAGAAGCTTTCCAAGCTCAGAGGGAAGGGGGATGGTTGTGGCCACATCAAACCGATTGAACCCGCCAAAGCCTGGTCCGCAGCCCAGGGACCTCAGGAGCTTGTTCATCAAGCTCATAGCATGTAATGACATCCCAGTTGCCTTCCAAGGGAATGACACCAAGAGTGCACATCCTAAGATGGGTGGTTGAGCTCGGAAGGTCAACGACGCTGGTGTTAGTCACCATGACTACTTCTCTCTCAATCATAGAACAATCATGAGGCAAATCACAAGTCATGTCAAGAGTAACACGGGACTAACAAAGGGAATGCCATATTTCTTTCGCAGCTTATTTGGAAACTCATCACTTGAGGCTGCATGACTGACTCATAATTGACTTGTGACTGAATTTTGATTCATGCACAAATATCCACGCAGCATGTCAGTTGCAAAGTTGACATTCTATTGAGGACGTTGACACTGATCTGGAGTCTCGGTATGACATTGGCAGAAAGTGGTCTAGAAACTGAGAGATTACCTGTAAGCATCTTTGCTCTGTTGCAGCAGGAGTGCTTTCAGTTTGTCCCACTCTGTCTCCTCAATAATCTGCGCTCAAACAAAAAGAAGACCGTCAAATCTTGTTAATATGGCACATAGGTGATGGGATTGTGCCTTTGATGATACAAGCACGAAATTTGGCACACAGTCAGAGTATGTCATGAGACAGATATTTGGCTATAGGGCCATCACAGATTTGTTCTTTTATAAAAATATAGGTAGAATAATACGCAATGGCAGCCATATTGAAAATTTTGAACATTGCTTGTTATTCTACCTATATTTCTTTCAAAGGACAAATCTGTGATGGTCCACATGACATGGATTCACATGACGTACTCTGACTGTGTGCCAAATGTCAACCTTGTATCATCAAAGGCACAATTTCCCCCAATATTTCCCCTATCTGCCCCACTATGTAGTCTCTAATGGGATTTGCTAAGAGAAAGATGGACGGCTGGGCAAACACAAAGACAAGTACATACACACTGCCTTGGAGGAAAGTGATCACAATGGTGAACACTGAAAGTGAACAAAGAACTAAAAAAAAAACACCGAAAGTGAACTAGAAAGTCAAGAGGGCAACACTGTGGACAAAACCTGTTATATCAAGAGCCCAATGCACAAAGGGCATTCTTTCAGGAACAGGTTTTCCACCTTTTTTTTAGGAGGAGGAAAGAAAAGAAAGTTTTTTCAAGAAAAACTAATTTCTTTGATTACCTCTGCTGTCTTGCTAGAAGTTCGCTTCCCCATCAATTTGCTTTTCAGCCAACTGTGGGAAGAAAATGTATATGAAGCATGAAAATCCACTTTGAATCTGGTCTGACCAAGTTTTTTTAGTTGAAACATCTGTGTTTGTGTGGTGATCTGCTATTTCAGAGAACGACCTTTGTTTTGGAAGTACCACCTACCAATTAGGTACAAATTATTTATTGTGCATGTTGTGCACATTGGAAATTTTCACATGAGCTACACGCCATTTGATCGTGATCCGCCAATTGCAGGATCTGATCCACCAATTGGGGGATCTGTATCCTAGTCCAAAGGTGGATCAATAAAGGTGGATCTGATCCTGATCCACCTTATAACGGTTAGCGTTCCCACTACACACAATTGCTGGATCTGATCCACCAATTGGGGGATCTGATCCGGCAATTTGGCAAAAGGTGGATCAGATCCCCCAATTGATGGATCTAGTGGGAACGGGGTCTTATTAGGACGACCTTTAATTTGTAAAAACCAATTCAATTCAGGAACTTGACTAACGGTCTAGGAGAATGTCCTTTGGTCTAAGAGAACAAATTTTGATTTGCAAGAAGACCTGCGACTTTCAAGCAAACTAAAGTTTATTTAATAGAAGAACTTTTGATTTCGCAAACCTATGCGACTGAACAAACTGGGTGAGCGTCCTAAAATCTGGAGAAAGAATATGCAACTTGGTAACACCTGTTTGAACGAGGGATCCATAACTGAAATCTAAACATGTAAGGGTTACAAGGCTTGACTTATCCATACCTCTGTGGTTCAGGCTTGGCCGGCTTAGACTCAGGCTCAGCTATGTTTGCAGTCTTCTGCAGATTGGGACACAGCTCCACGATGGCTGAGCAGAGACGACCCAGAAACAAAGCCCTGATATGGTACATACAATAATATTGTTATTAACCCTCCTGCTGTCTGAACAGTCACAGATAGTCAAAAAAATCAATCCTCTTCCCCTGCCATGCCTTTAACACAGGTAAGTCACCAACACTCCGATCATATTTCAAGCAAGGACTGTGACTAGTCAAATTCAGTCAACAGACAAAAACAGACAAGTGGTAGGCACAGCTGCCTTATCAATCACCTACAGTCAAAGCACAGCTGTATCAAGTTACATAAAGAGTCACAGCCAGTCAATCCTGCTTTATGTAGGCTGGAAGCTTTTCATTTGATTGATTTTGACTGAAAGGACAACTTTGCCCAGAGTGTATGTTTCAATAGGTGGGTTAATGGACAACTCCAGCAATGAATAGAATGTGGGAACAAATTTAGTAAGTACTCAACCAAATAAAGAAAGCAGTTCATTTTTTTTTTATCTATTGCGCAGGAAATCTATGTGCGGTGAAAAAATCTGTTGAGAACCAGTTACAGGCTGTATGCTATCGCATGACATTTTGGCTGGTGACCTGCTTATGATAAGCAAATATGTTCTATGCTTAATTAGCCTTCGATAAATAAATATGAAACAATTTGCTTTGGATTCCTTAGACTTGCTGCTTAGAAACTATCTGAGGATTTGTTTTCTCTCTGCCACTCAAGACATTAATAAACAACCCTCCCCATCTTAAACAAAGGAAGGTAAACTAAAGACTGCAATGGAAGGCTTACCTGTCCACAATCTGAGAGCTCTGCTCCGTCTGTCCTAAGTGAAGGCAGGCATCCAGCTGAGATTTGGTCTCCTCCAACTGCCTACTGAAGAAACTCAACAATCTAGGATGAAAAAGAGAAGAAAAAATATATCAATCTGATGTCAACAAATCGTTTAAAAAATATTACACTTGCAGTTTCACTGGTGATATTTTGGAATGTATCGTGAATTTAATCTAAATGTTCCCGAATCCTCACTCTCTGGCTCCAGGGTGTTTAGCAGTTAAGTTTCCTTGAAATGGAGACTACATCTCTTCACAATGGAGACTAAAGTTTGTAGAGAGAAGACTACATTTCCCTGAGATGGAGACTGCATTTCCTTGAGATGGAGACTACACATCCCAAGCACTAATCACCTGTCTTTATATCATAGGTGTGTATGAGGACAGGCATCACTGGAGGTGATTCTGAAATCTTACTGGTTGCTATACGTCATGATGTCACCTTATTTGTTGTTGGAGTTGGCCTCTTTCTCCTCCATGCTCATGTAAAACCGAATGTGATCCCCAATTCATACAAACGTGAATATTTAAATAATGTTGACCCTAATGTTACAGGTCATTCAGCTATTAACCTGTTGGCCGTTTTCTAACTCTAAATGAGCCGTGAGACACCTTCTAGGCCATACTGACCTTTGCAGACAGGTTTCACAGGAGATTTGCAGGAAGCTCTGTAATGTCACAGTGTCAGCAAACTTGTCAAAAGGTTCAGCCCCCTTGGCAGTAACCTTCTCCCCAGCAGGCAGCCTGGGTAGGGGGGTGGGGAGCCTGGGCTGGGGGGTGGGGAGCCTGGGCTGGGGGGTGGGGCTCTCTGTGTACTGAGCCATGTCTTCCAAGAGGGAGTTGAGTTGGCTGTCCAGGGTGGTGCAGATTCTGAGGAACAAAACGGGTATCAATGTGAGTAAATGGGCTCGAGATGGGTTCAAGATTTGAATAACAGGTCGTGTGATAGTTACAAACTGGGCACTACATGTGTGAATAAAAAGGGTTGATGATATGGGAAAAAAATATATGGTAAAACAGAAGTACGAACTAGAGCTGCGTCTATTCATGAAAATGAGGTGTTTTTGTTTTCGCTTTTCCAATTTTCCAGTAATTATGCCTTATCATGTGTGACATAAAAATGACAAAAATTCTGTCTAGAAAAATGTGAAGTTAATAAAAGAATTTATACAAAATCAAATGATGATGTCATAGTGACATCACTTCTTCTTTTTTTTGCATACTACCAGAGTACCCAACCGTAGATGTCAGGAACCGGTTCCAGATTATGGAATCAGGTACCCAAAACCTTACTTTACAAATTACTTAGTAACTTCTCAGACAATGAGAAAGAAGGTTCTGAATGTCATTTGTGGGCAATTTTCAAAATGAAAGCCAGGCTTCATGGCAAAACAAAAGACTTGTCTCGTTTATGACACTCACAAAAGTTGCAATTTACACCGTAAAGCTATAAAGTTCACTGTACCCATTTGTACCCATATGCATCGATGTGGTAGTATTATCATGCGGACCTTTATGAGCAATCTCAACAGCAACTTCCGAGATTTGAATTTTGGAACCCGGGTACCTGTGATTTTCTTTCAATCGGGTACCCGGTTCCCGTACTACCCGTAAATGCACACCCCTACAGCGTAACTCACCCTTGAGTCCTGGGTGTGAAAGCCCTAGCCTTCATATACAGCCCCCCGGGTTCACCAGCATGTTGCCTACCCAGTGACCCTCCACCCTTCCATGCTGCTGGGCTAGGGGTGTCAGTGGGTGCCTCAGCCCACACATAGGCAGCTATATCCTGCTCAGCAGACAGGGAGCCTAGGTCAGCCAGGGCCTGCTGGGTGTGGCGCTGGGTGCCGGTGGAGGTCTGGTCCAAGGCATCCTGGATAATGGCCTGGAAGGGGAAAATTGGTCAATGGAGGGGGGGGGGGAGAAGGAAAATTGGAAAATTATTCTTTCATCCATGCCAAAATGTATTCTTAATGACACCCAACATGGTACACTTAGATTTGTTTTCTTGATGCACCTAGCATGACTAACAATTTTCTCCAATTTCCACAGGAAGTGAAATTTTGGCGATTTCAAAATATATCCCTGTCAATAAATCGTGTTAACGAATAGAAATGATTTCCTGATTTGCTTTTGGAATGAGAATTGCACCCCTTTAATGTGCTCCAAATATATATGCTCAGCAGAAACAGGTTCCTCACTAAAAAGTGGTGTATTGTCTGTTTGTCGTACTGGTTCCCAGCTCAGCCTGGCCAAAATCCATGGCCGTGCTTATTGTAAGCAAAAGAATTCCCGCTAACTGTTAACAGAAAATTCTAAGCTAACAGTTCCGTATTTTCACGGTAGGCACAGAATTTTGGCTTATAGACCTTTCTTTTGTTTGTAAACATTGGCGCCATTTTATATGGCTGCCGCAAGCGCATTAATTGAAGCCGTGGTTGGCAACATATTTTTCCAAAAAAAGTCCCCATAACGCCCTCAATACAAAGTAAAAAGCCATGTTTAGGAATTATGTTGTAGCTTTGTTGGCAATGTTGTTTTTCCAACAATCAAATAATATGTTGGTTATCTGTAATAACTCTTCTTCATTCTTGCATTGTTGGACCTTCCATAGTTTTGCAACCTGTGGTTGGCAATATGTGCAGTTTACCAACCAAGCGTAGAAAGGTCTACACGCTTAGATACTTTTGCTAGTTTGTTTGTTTTTTATCTGAAACTCTCCTCAAATTATAAATCAAGTCTAAAAACAAACTATGGACACATAATGCAATGTATATCTGAGCATTGTCGAAGATAACACAAAAAAGCTACAATCCGCTTTAATATTTCCATTGTGGTCCTCTACAATCACAAAAATATCTCGTACGTTAGGATCCTGTGCTTTTACTGTTAGATCAGCACTTCTGCACTACTGTTGTAGGGATAGAATGGTCATTATGTGTACACAAATTATGTGGTTAGCACAGCCAGGAAATTGGACACACACAATTTGCTAGACATTACATGATGTTTAGCATCTCCATAACTTTGGGCTCAAGACAGTCTCGGGAAGTGACAACAAACCTACCTGGACTCTAGTGAGGAAGAGTGGTCTGATGAATTCGCCCCACAGCGACAGGTGTCTGTCTAACACACACTGGCAGACAGTGGACCAACTGATATCACTGTCATCCTAGGATGAAAGAAAAAGGTCTTGTTATACATGTCATGTTTCAGCGGTTGATGTCCGACCACAAGATCATGTACCTTGGGTAACTTAACTTGGTTTTTGTAAAACGACTTTGGAATATTTTTATCGATAGTGTATTCCAACCCTACCCCCTAACTAAAGCATGATACAACTGTGGCATTGTTCAACGGTACTAGCTCAGTTTATTAGTGCAGTACTCATCCTAACAGATTCATCAACTAGTCACATGCCTTCAGAAGTTCAGAGGTTCAAATCCAGCCGCTAGCCATATGTTGTGTCCATTGGCAAGCCAATTCACCTCCACTTGCCTCTCTCCACCCAGGAGTAAAAAATGGGTACCGGCACTAGATGGAGAGTAACCTGCGATGGACTAGCATCCCATCCAGGGGGAGTAGAAATTTCTCATTCGTTTCATGCCAAGGTAACTGGAAATGAAAGCCAACCTGATGGGCCATACTGGCTTGTGAAATTTAGAATAAAACTATTTGTTTGCGCTTTGTGCCAAACAAGTGCAAACCTGGGCCCGTACAGTGTGTCAAGTCATGCAAACGTAGCTGTAAGGAATGGTCACAAAGCAACATCTACTGTGTACGTAAAGTGCATACGACTTAGTTTCACAATCAATGATGAAGTTCTTCCTACCTCAGCCAACATGTCCCACACGGCGTCCCGTATCGCAGCCAGTGCCTTCATAGACGTCACATGGTTCAGCAGCTTGCCGACACCACTATGCACGTCTTGTATACAGGTCTCCACCCACTGCTCAACACTCTGCTGTAAGTAGGTCGGGGCAATGGTGGTGCTAGGAGTACGAGGTGACGGCCGGAAACCTACACGATCCAATCAGAGAATGGTCCAAGCAGGTGCAGGGCCTGACTTTACATTGAGCTCTTTCAGAACGGGGAGCTAATATGTATCTGCTCAAAATAGTTCCTGCTGCAGGTGGCAAAACAAATGCTGTGACCTTTTGTCATGGCACACAATTTTATTCCCGTCTAAAGGCAAGATATTCTGCACTCAAAGAATTAAAATCTATACACGCTGGTAGTACCTCAAAATATTTTAATATACCAAAAGTATTTCCACTGACCCGTTCAAAAATAACAAAATGTACATATTCACATTTTGAATAGAAACAAGAATGTTTATGTGCGAAGATTAAATAATTAATGTACAAGAAAATTTGTCATTCACTGTTATAAATGGTTAATGGCAAAACAGAACCTGTCATCAAAATGAACAGATATTCAAAAATAACTTTCAACTTGCTTAAATTGGATGTCAAATGATCGTATAACTAAAATGTGAAATGATGTTTCTTAGCCCAAGATGGGGGGGGGGAAGGGGGGGGGAGAGGGGAGGGGGCAGAATAGTACTCACTGATGACAGAGCTTGGAAGATGCTTTGTGAAGGAAGCTGACATCATCTCGTTCTGGAGGATACCTTTTTTCTTGTCTGTTACAACAACAAAAAACAGTCAGTAATTTAGAAGGCAGTATCAACTTATGTGGAACAGCATCTTTTCAAGAATTGTGCAATGCTGATTGAAAAGATGCTGTTTATTTGTTGGCAAATTAAAAAAAAAACAGGTACTGAAAAATCAGAGGCTATACATAGAGTTTAAGCTTTCCTATACCCTCCTTTGTGAAATGTGTCAAGAAGTACATGAACTGAACACTGTATACTCAGTGTGTTACCTCCCAAGTGAAAGTTGGAAAATCACTCGGGTGGGACTCAAACCCACGACTTCCTGTTGTCTAGTATGAGAAAGTTTCACACTGAGTATACAGTGTTACGTCGGTGAAGGGCAAAAACCTAATATTGATTTACATCACCCCGACTTAAATTCATCTTATGAATAAATTCATGACCTTTTTAATGAAGGTGGAATATTAATACTAACTAGATGCATGCTGCTCACTTGTCACTTCTTGTAGTGTCTTCAGCAACAGGTTGGAATGAGCTGTGGGAGATAACATTACGATAAGTGGGATTTCATTCTGTAACATGAGATTTGAAGGTTTGCATGGTGGAAAGATACTAAGACAAGATAAGTTTGCGGTAGCACCATGTAAATAAATCTCTTTTGTGAGTATGTGTGGTTCTGAGAAGAACCGGATTCTTTTCAGAACCACACATACTCACAAAAGAGATTTATTCACATGGTGCTACCGCAAACTTTTCTTGTCTTAATTCCTGTAAATTCTCTTATTTCTATAAAAATAAAGCCCATTATAAGGCTAGCTCAGGAGTATTCGTCTGATGATGTTGTATGACTGTTCTCCATCAGAGCTGTAGTTAAATCAATCCCAATCTTATCACAAGTCAACCACAAGTGAATAATACGTCAATCACAAGTCACATCACAAGTCTAGAATAAGTCACATCACATGTCAGTTCAGTAACAGAAGACAAGTGACAAAGGAATGTTTTCTTTCACAGTTCATTTGAATAGGGAGTCAGGTTGATGCAGTGGTTACTGTCCTCGCCTTCCACCTCTATGGCCCGGGTTCGATTCCTGCTCTGGTCCACATGTGGATTGGGTTTTCAGTCCCTACCTGATTCCGTGGGTTTTCCCCAGAATATTCTTCTGGTGTTTTCTTCCCACTTTTAAAACTGTAATTTCTTTTCATTGTCTTCTCTCTACAGATTTCTTCAGGCTTGCGAGCGACAGTACCTAAGGCATTTTTTAGGTTTCCTTGGTTTCAGTACCAGAAATATAATAACAATAAAAATAGCTTGTGACTTGAAAAGAGGCTATATTATTGTGATAGGCTTGCATTTATTGAATTAGATGATTTGACTTGTGAAGACTTGACTATGCGTTTGCTCTCCATGCTATAACACCCTCACAGGTAGACTGAGCTGAAAAGTTATGTCATTGTCTTACCTTCATCCGGGTTGTCCTGTTGATGGTAGAACACTGCGTAGATCTGCTTCACTGTCACACATATCAGTTCAATCACACTGCATATTTGGCCTTTAACACCCATACCTACAACATCATTAAAGGGCAGAAAAGAATAAATAAAGCCTATTATTTCAACACAACTGCTATCTCCATGAAGAGGAAATGTGCAAAATGGGAACCACTCACTAGTACTCAGATCTGCCTAGGTTGCGACACTGAACTACATAACGAGCAATGATTTTCAAATAGGAATTATGTTCTAACTTACCATGCTGACTGGCATGGAAGCATTGTTGGACTGCCGCCTAAAGAGAAAGACATTTTTCAATAAATTCATTATTCAAAGTCATCGTAGTTATCTTCTGGACCCTTTCACTTTGGATCTTTATCTAGAAGAGTTGTCAAATAACTTCCTCTTAATACTGCTCAATTCCCAATTTATAGCTTCTAATTTTGTATGCAACATGACTCCAACTGGAGTTCATTGTCAGATACCATAGCTAATTAGCTAAGGCTTAAGTTTAAGCAAATGAACCGTAGTAGAGCATCACTCATTCACACGCACATAAGTAACTTCAAGTGTTTGTGGAGAGTCTAGCAGTTGAAAGATCGATTCACTTTTGCTTTCACCAATGTTTTGATTGACAATCTCCTATGTGTTCAACTTGAATGGCCCATTTTGTATTAAATGCAATCCTTCAAATGTACCTTTGTGTTACATTTAACTTCATTTTTAATCTTCACATTGCTATTCCAAGAGTGTTTTGGTGCATTTTTGATTTTATGCTAATACAAATTTCCATATTCATGAGGAAAACTGTGATGTCATTCAAGATCAAAAATTCAGTGTTAATCTGCTTCAGCATAAAAAGTTACATAGTTTGGTGTTTTGCTATGGTTACTTTTCTGTTTTAGGTGTTATGTAATCTTGTTTCATTACATGACAGTAAGACGAGACACTTTATTCACAAATGTTTTCAATGAGCAAAATTTTGTGTTTACAATTTGATGAGAAAAACTTTAATCCGAAGAGTGTGTTCAAAAAGTGACATCACTGCAACAGCGCCCTCACTTGTCAGGAAAAGCAAGAACATTTTAAATGTTTATAAAATGTGCTCTTTGCAAACTTTCTAACCAAAAAGGGATGTCTCATAGTTTTTACACATTTCACAGAAATAAATATTTGACACAATTATGCTCCAGTGTAAGACTCATTTCATGGACCCTTTTAAGGTCCCTTTTAAGGATTTAGCGTTGTAAAATCTACACAACTCACCTTTCTTGCAAGCAGGAATTCAGTGAACACCTGACGTGGTGAGCCTTCCTCCAATAGCATGATAGAACACAGGGCTTCAGCTGTTGCCTGGTAAATAGTAGACATATTGACTAGTGAATAGTTACACTATTGATTAGGGCACTATAACTAATGGGGATTGCAAAAGCATAGAGGACGTGATGTTGATGAAAATGCAAGTATCACTCACCTGATCCGAAACGCTGCCATTTTTCAGCAATTTCCTACAACTCTGTAAAACAAGAAAAGACAATAATCCAAGCTATTAGATTTTGATTAGTTTTAAAGGTAGAGTAGATCATTTGCAGCTATCCAAAAAGTAACTGACAAAATTATTGTTGAAAAGCTTACTTGGTTTAAACATGGGGTGGCAATAAACTCCCTGTGAAATTATTTTTTCTGGCATGCTGTCATTTTGAAGAAAATAATAAAAGAAGGCCATTTCCAAAGATACGTCAAGTGACGCATTTTTGGAAATTTCTGTTAGTAGTTGGTCAGTAATTCGGTGAATCCGTGAATGAGTGCGCGCAAGCATTGACGTGACGCACACGCGAGCGCGGTTGCTATGATTCATTGGTTCTGTGCATGACGTCGCATAGCTGCAATCTGCTGAATGAGAACATGTCCCCCTTGCTGATTTCGGGCACAATTCAAAACATGACTCTGCGAGGAATATTGTTTTTTTCAGAATGTACAGCATTCACAGAGCTAAAACTTCATCAGGTTAGTTGTTAAGCACCCGTCTTTAGACTTTGAGCACTTTTATTGCTTCAGATGAAACAAATTCACAAATGACAAAATATACAACATTTGCAAACATCAAAAAAACAAAACTACTAAATTATCACGAAAGACCTTACTGGACTGTTAGAGAATGACAGTCTAAAGCATCCTGTAATTAAAAATCCTGGCACTTGGTGTGCTGACATTTTAAATAAAAGTGGTACGTTTGTATCAATTTCCAACGCCGGTCGGCCGACCAGCATTGGAAAAATGTGGCTTTTTTCATATGCTGCTCCCAATTTATAATAGGGCCTATTTTTAGTTAGTCCGCATTTTGTTTGCAATCGATTACACACCTACGAACAGGTACAAGCTAGCTAGACTGGTTCCCTGATTTTACAATTCCCCGTTGTCTATAAATTTCTCCTTTTCATCTTCAGTGGGTCAGGGAACAAGACTACAAGAACAAGTTGTTTTTTTCTTGGTTTTTCCAACATCTACGAACCCAAAACTTCAAACAAGTCAGTGTAACAATATTTACTATAAATACTAACCCCCCAAAGCCATCCATTTCTGAAAATTACAGCAAAATCAAATGCTGTATATTCCCTTTAAGAGATCAGGGGTCATAAATAGCCATTGTCAGTCTCTATATCACCTCTGACTTCAGAATCATATGGGCCCCATGTGCGAAGAGAGGGTGCTTATTTTTACCAATTTCGAGAGCCAAGTGCGCAGTCAGCAACGGTTTCAATGTCTCTCCCAGTGGTCTCCCCCAACTCTCCCTTTCTTACCATTGAGGGGGTACTTGTGCATGGAGCCCATAATATACTTAAATGTCCCAACAACTGGAAGTAATTATATCAAATTTGATGTCCCTTCAACTAAACATGGACCCTAATAAGCCAGAGATCCCTCAAGTAAAGGACCTAAAATCTCATGAAGCCTGACACAAAGCCAAGATTTTGTGAAAACCCCTCTTTACCCACCTGCAGTATACCAGCCTTGAAGTGGCTAATAGCAGCCCACTGCCGTGACAGTACAGGGAACCAGGCCAAGAGCTGTGCAGATTGCTGCGTGTTGCTGTCTAGCTGTAGACTGCTGACAATGTGACATGCCAGCAGATACAGCTCAGTTGCTTGCAGGTGTTCACTACTCTCAATGGCACTCCAAATCTGTACAAACACAAGCACAATCAGAGGAAAAACTTAAAATGGCTTTTGTCCTTCGCCAGTGTAATTTTATGAGCACTTTGTGCACACTGCTGTACAAGAGCTTGAACGTTAAAATTCTTAACCTTGGGTGGGATTTGATTCCACATCCTGCTTACTACTGCAGATATTTTAACAACTATTCCATCATACATGTCATATTCATAATTACCCAAGACAGTTTACCCATTCCTATTGGTCGAGAGCCTGTCACGTGGCTGGTTTTAAACGGTTGATAAAGACCGGCTGGCTGGTCTTAAACACTTTTCCAGTGTCACATGGAGTTTTGACTAGGAAATCCGGTGCCTTTTAGCTACCGTTTTCTTGGCTGAACATTCATAATGCTCACGTAGGCATGTGCAATATTACCAGTAAGTCAGTATTTCATAGTCCTAAATACACAATTTCACACTACACAGGCACAGCTGCGTTCTGCGCCACATCACGCAGTACGCACAACGGGCGTGACAATCTCCATATAAGGAGTTGATTACGATATAGACATACCATAATATAGCTAGAGGGGTGTTTCGAAAATCATGAAGTAAACTTGTTGAACAAAATCTTTGGAAATATATAATTTTTGACTTGTTTTGAAAATATTTAATTTTTGGACCGAAAAGGTATTTATGAATGGGAATAAATTATGTGCTTGGCCGGTTTTAAACACAACGTTTAAGACCGGTTGGAGTCTGGATGCTGATGGGTAATTATCAGCATCCAGACTCCAACTGGGGTTAAACATAGTGTTTAAAACCACCCAAGCACACATTTATTCCCCATTATTATTCAAGTGCTAGGTTTTCAGGGGCTACGTGTCAAACAAGAAATATTTGGATAATTTGAGACTTTGCATAGTGTGAGTGTAGCACCCCGGGAGTGCCAGGCTCAGAGTCGTTAGCGAGTCAGTGGCAAGTCTAATCAAGTCACAAGTACAAGGGCGTGATCAGCAACAAACGGATGTCCTTGTCACAATTCACCTTGTCTAGAGTACCATCTCTAGCATCCCTGTACTGCTTGTTCATACCGATGGACACACCATGCTCCGAATAATTTGTGAGGAAGAAAAGAAAGGGAACAAACGTGCTACCTTCTCAGGCATATCCATCAGCAGCTTGGTTTGAGAAGCAATGGCGTAGAAGTCATTCTGGGACGACCTTTAAGGAAATAAAATACAATCAGCCAAGAAATGACACAAACAGTGATCACATACTGAGGGCAAACTCAACCTGTGAACTAAATACCAGCAAGCAAGAAGAGCTCAACTCAATCATTTAAGCCAAATAGACACCACGACAATTCAGGTCATTGAGGTGTACCCTACTGATCAAGTCCACACAAAACACAGGATTTTTGTCCAAATTTATCGAACAATTCTGATTTATTAAATAAACCCAAAATCACAACAGCTCGTACGAATAGACACTCAGGACAAAACTATGCTGTCACCAAATAACAGTAAAAAGATCCCAATTGGGAAGCAACTGAGTGAGAGGGAAGTCTACACACAATTATGATATGGAGTGCAAGCAGTTACAACTCAGTCACTCAGTCACTGGATTCATTTATTACTAATGACTTGCCTAAATCCCCAAGCACACAGCATACCTTTCTGGTTTAACTCTTGGAGAAGCCAGAACACCCTTCACCATGTGGGTCTTCTGTAGCTTGGTGCAGTAGCCCTGCATGCCCTGGACAGCCGACACAATCTGCAAGGCACAACAGTGAATACATTGATTCAATCTTATGAGCACACATTGAGAACAGTGTTTAGTACCCTATGGACTCTCTGCAAGAACAGTGTGTGACCAACTCGCAAGATGCAAATAAAGATGGGACTCGTAGAATTAAAGTAGGTGAAAGTTTTTAAGCTTATTTACCCTCCTATGCAAACATAGATTCTGCGCCAAGTTGTCCTTTCAGTCAAAATCAATCAAGTGACTGTTTTCAACAGTTTAGAGCTCTCAGTCTATGTATGTGCATAAGGCAAGAATTCACTGGCTGTGACCATACAATGTATCAACTGCAGTCTGGGTACTCCACTACAGGAGGGTCATACCTCCTCAGGATGTTACCCCCATTTGTACCTTATTACAATGTATTGATTCTTTAACAATTACTATGGTCGTTATTAAACAAACAAACAAACCGTTTAAGTAACTTGATATAGCTGTGCTTTGACTGTAGGTGACTGATAAGACAGCTGTGCCACCAGTTGCTTGTTTTTGTCTGTTGACTGAATTTGACTAGACACAGTGCTTGCTTAAAATAGGATCCGACTGTATGTGACTAGCCTGTGTAAAAGGCATAGCAAGGAAAGTGGATGAAATTTTTGCCTGTCTGTGACTGTTTAAACAGTAGGAGGGTTCAGACATTTGACCAAAATGCCCTGTATTGATCAAGTATGTGTAATCAAAGAACCAAGACAGTTATTCCAACCTTTTCAGTGCATGCTTTCATGTCTGAGATGGTATCCGCTGCATCAATCAGGTCACGATAACGTTCACTGAAAATAAAGCAATACATATTGAGTTATTTCACTGAACTTCTACAATTCATAAAGTAATAATTACTGTCAAAGTGACGTTGAGAAGAAACAAAAAATTTCAGGTGTCCTTTTTCATACTCACCCCACCATTTGCCTCAGGTCTTCCTTTTTCTTTTCAATGTCAGACCTTTAATTTTTTAAAAAGGCAAAAAATTAAAAATTAAAAATTTACACTATTATTGTACTAACAAAAATAATGTTTACAACTTTTTTTTCCTTAACACTTAGGCTTATACACCAATTTACAAGAAATTAACCAAATATTAGCGGATTGCATTATGCTGACTTGCTCAACAATGGGTGGAAAGTTGTTGAGGGGTCATCAAAGCTTCATGCCCATGTTAAACCATTGGTCCCTGTACCGCCCCAAACTGTCCTACCTTATCCTCCCTATATGCCCAACAACTCCCCGACACTGTCTGGTTTATGGTTTCTCCAGGGACTAAATACAATTTCATACATTACAAGCCGACGGGTTAAGTAATTTCAGCTGGATTATATTTTCCAAAATCCTTCTTTTGATTGCAACTGTCTTCAAACCTCCTGATGGAATTTGAAGGATTTGTGAGGTTTAGGTTAAACTTAATGAGTACTGCTGTTACATTTCCTTTAGACTCAGTTGTTCACCTTGTTTCTCGCTCTATCTTGCGTATCTCCTCAATGGTATACGTCTCAAAGAGCTGTCCTGTGTCCATATCTAAGACACTGGGTCCTCCTGCAATGCAACATGAAGATGAAAGAAACATATCAGGTTCCGAGAGGAATATAATAATAAAGCTGACTAGACCCAACAATACTAAGTATATCAAGATCATAGAAAACTAAATTCTGGATTTTGGTGGGGCTGAAAAACAATCACTGATTTTTGAAAAGGCCCAAGCATCCAAAGTCTTGAGGCCCAGAGTCCTAACTTTTTAGTATCAAGTTCATTATGTAACACATTCATGATCGGAACGGTCAAAATTATGAGTGGAAACCAGTTCAAGTTGCCCTAGTTCCCAACTAATATTGTCATTCGAACTGCACTTGGGTTTACAAATGAAATCTAGTCTACCAGGGGTGTGAGTGACCACTGATAAAAATAGCTGAAAACAGCTGAAAAAGGTGTAAAAAAGCTGAACTTTGGAAAACTCCTATACTTTTGTACACAGCAAGTGAGGGAAAAAAGCTGAATTCCAAAACAAAAAAAGCTGAAATCAGCTTTTAAGCTGAGATTTCACACCCTTGTCTACTCATTATCATGCATAATCTATGCATCCCAAGCGGGAACGGAACCGCACTCGGGACCATTTACGAACACTGAGCACGACCACAATGCGTCATTCAAATGAGTTGGACTGTTTAACGTGTCCACGAACACGAGGTGAGCTCTCGGAATTTAACGGAAAATTTCACTTTTCATCCGGATCGTAAGTAAACCTTAGTACCTCGATCTTAACATCAATCTGTACATCAATATGTAGTAGTTTTGTGGCCGTTTTAAGGGCAATCACTATAGTGCGCCCCATGTACAAATGTATGTATGTGCGAGGGGTGGGGATTTTGTCACTTCAAAAGTGACAATCCCCACGTCTTGGGTGGGGCAGCCCGGATGGGGGAGGGGGACAATTATTAGGCGCATTAGTATTAGTTATGGCTTTATGCGCCTATCAATTGTTTCCCAACGGTCTTAAATAGAGTGTTATAATACCTCCCGAACACAAATTTATTCCCTTATTCTAATACATCTACAATCAATCAATCAATTTTACAGGCGCGCTCGCCTGCACGCGGTCAACCATACCATGGCCGATCGCGCCGCCTCGACACATGGTTACATGATACACATCATTTCAATAAAAACAAAAATAGGTATTAGCCTACTTTTGGGGTACTTTAAACATTACGATTAGGTCTTACTCCAACAGAAATACATTTTAAGGCAAATTCATTCCAACAAAAAACTCGGTACTGAAATCTGCATCTCTGCGAAACAGATCATAAAATAATAACGCGATATAAGGCGCACGTCGTTTTTGTGCTCCTCAATTCTGATTACGCCCTCTGTTGTTCAGTAAAAGTCGACCAAAGTTGTCTTTCCTGTTCGGTTGGACGGTGACACTGATTGGAAATTCGTAGCAATGTTTCTATTCGTTTTCTGGGCCATTCAATAATGTTACATTTTGTATCTAGTCAGTACAGCAATAATTTACACTCTCTTTGATTTCTTTCAAATTACTTCTCGGATAAGCTTTTGATTTCCGCATAACTGCATCGAGAAGAAAGGTGATGTGACGATGGATCAATGACGGTGATTTGGCATCGGTCCGTGTTGTGTGAAAAAAGATACGAGCCGAGAAAGTTGGCTGCACAAATATTGGGCGGCGTGAATTTGGGGCACCGGACAATTAATACTTAATGCTTAAAATGAAAAAAATGGGGGTAGGCTAGTTCATAGTTGTGGGGCAAGGAAAATTCTGGAAATAGGATCTGAAAAAAGATTTTCACACTACAGCCTACAGGCCCAATTTTTCACCTAATTGACAGGTTCTTCGGGAAAAAATTTGAAAGACAATACGTGATACATGTAGCTGCCTTTACAAAATGTAGTTTCAACATGCACAAAATTGGTGCCCCAAAATAGCGCCCTCAGCGATAATGTAATACACCGTTGGAATCGCACCTTATACGTGCGGCTTTTGAGGCTTAAAATACGCTAACAGGCACAGAACAAACGCTCTGTTGTCAAGCAGTAGAATTTAACTTATCATTCTCACATATTTTGCCTGTTTAGGATAGTGTATCAGTGTTTAAGAGCAAGTTTTTCGACGAATTCTCTCTTACTTTTCGCCGTCCGCGGATCGGGAGACCGTGCGGCCATGTTGGCAAAATGATGAATTGTGGCAACCTCGTCCCCAGGGTGTCGAGCAGTACGCGTCCACCACTACCTGCTCTCTCACCCTGGTATTGGATCATTTGCATGTGCAAGATTTTTGCACACGTATGCAAATGAGGAACAGTCTGGTGCCTGGATATGCGTTAAACATTAGCGGCTGTTTTTGTATGCGGTGTCTGGGGTAAAAACAGAGTCAATTCGTAGCAGCGCGAGCACGGCGTGAGTTACGAAAACACGATTTTTGAAATCAAACTGTTACGATCTTATCGAGACAACATGCAGTATCAATTTTCAGGCATATTTCATATTAATATGAGCAAATTGGAAAGGAAATTAGTATTTTCGAGAAGGCGTGGACGAATGATCGCGAAAACACGTACTGCACGTTGTGAATATATAGCACCAAGTACACGATAAAATCCATTACTAGCCAATTGCGGTATACGTATCCAATCAGGATACAGGAAGAATGTTTCCTATCCAGGGTTTACTATTGGAAACACGGTTGGAAATAAAGTAAGCACTGGGGACGAGGTTGGAATTGTGGGATTTGTTTTTGTCTGTTTCACTCCTTAGGATGGAAAGTACTTACAAATGTGCATTTGAAATTAATAAATATTGTACTATTTCCAAAATAATTTTAACTAAAGAAGACTCAAATTATTTTAATGAGTTTGTTGAGCAATTGTGGTGGAGATTTCTTAGGATGTGTTTATAAATATTACATTTATTTAAGTTCTGATGACAGAGCCCACACAGGTCAAAGCGCGCCATAAACGAATTTTTTGGAGGAAAGGTTCCTTGGCATCCTTGGGTGAGTGATCAGGTGATGCCTGATGGGTCTCAAAAAAGTTATCGATAATATGATTGAGAGTACTTAAGATATGTGTAAGCTGTTCAAAATGTTGTATAAATTATTTGATTATATGATCATAGTATTACAACAAGTGTCATATCAAATTAAATGAAATTTAATGTGTGTTTTTTTTGTATTAATTGAAAATTCAATGTGGACAAGTAACAAAGTACGAAGTGGCTATCGTTACGGCAGCCGTTGTTTAGCGCCCTCTACGATACTTTTTTGATACGCACGCAGGTATATAATTATTTGTTTCCCCACGTTTTAGCGAGCAGTGCAACAGCTCAGTCGATATTAGAGGGTAGGATTTTGCACCGCGAGGTTGCGGGTTCGCATCTCAGTTTTGCACTCAAATTTTTTTCCTTTTCTAACCTGAGGCTTTGGAGAATTTTTTTGAAAAGGGAAATAAAGTCCGAATTTCATAACGTTCAAATTCACTTTTTCCTTCTAATTTTATATTTTCTTCTCATGTTTTTATAAAAGTTGCAGTACTACCGTAACGATAGATAAATGGGAAATGCGTTACGGCTGCCGTAACGATAGCCACTGCGAACAAAGTAGGCTAAGTCGACAACAACCACAACAGGCGTGTATGACAGGTCAAGAATAAGATAAACAAATGAATGAGACCCGTAAACGTGGCGTCAATAACAACGCCACGTTCCAGCCTCGCGTAAATACACTTGAAATTGTCACGCGGCATGTCATTTCACCAGTATTACATTGTATTATTTATAAGTACTTACAAACATATAAAGTTTTCTGTAAATTCTCGCGAGCGTAGGATTTTGCAAGTTGCAGTTGCATTGGCAAGAAATTTGAGGGGAAAAAAACGACCTCAACACAACAACAAATGTACTACGAGCAAAACTTTTGATTTTCTGAGGTCACGCACGGTACGCTGGTACTCTGACTCTGAGTCATGCACGCGCCAAATGGTAGGTGCCGTCTGGGTACCCGTACAATCTTGTGCGTCGAGTGTTTCTACGCAACTCTGGAGCGTGGCTATGTATATCCACGTTCACATTTCTCTATGTTTATGATATGCTTGAGTAGGCACTCTTTACTATCAGATTGTCATTGTTAATTAAATAAAACCAGTCACAGTGAGACTATGTGCAATTTAATTTTAAAGTCACTGTTGTGAATTCAGACATTTTCAAACTATTTGTGATCTTCTCTGGCATTTTCTTTTTTTATTTTCCATCATGCTTCTCGTCAATGCCATTGCAAATAGAAAAACACTGTACAAAGTCTTGTGTGGTTTGGAAATTCCTCGTTTTTCTAAATTCCCATTTGCATGCACACACAGCTGTGACATTTAGCTCCAGTGAATAACAAAAACATCAAAAAGTGAACAAGACCAGTGTTTTATTATCTCCCGCATCCTGCTTTGAATTTTTAAGTTGAGACTGAACAACCCTCTTCGTTTCATTATCTTTGATTTTCTGTAAAGATTCTGCGGGTTCTCCACATCAGATTCAAGTGTAGACATCTGGAAGTCCTAGTAGCAAGAACAACTCAAAGAGTTCCTATCACTAAAGAGCATGGGGACCTCAGATAAACTGACAATGCAGATGTTAGAAACAGAACCACATTTTGCCATGATTCCAAGAACACTCTCACCAATACTACCATCAAAGTCTAGAATGGAGAGATCTCTTGAGTTTGGATCGCATAGTAGTGATAGCGGTGTGGGTCAGGATTACAGTGGAAGACCTGCTGCGGTGTCAGAGCAGATACACAGCCAGACAGGCGTCAAGTTGCCAGTGAAGCATGTCACCTCATCGGGAACACAGCATGGGTCTCTCCTTGAGAGATACCTCGTCCACAGTCACTCTAAGTGCATCGCCTGCAGGGACTGTGGGATTTTCTTTTCCCTCGATGCCTTCTTGGCCCACAGTCACGACAAGCATGGCAGGAAGCGCCACCGTCCCCAAGCAGACTTCCTAGAACTTGACACGGAGAATCCGGGCTCCCAGCAACTGAGGGTTTGGGAGGAGTTCCTCACTACAACGGGGCAGAAAGCCAGACCAGCTGGGTCAAGTGTATCATTTGCCATGGATGTTGGTAACAGAAAAGGAGAGCGCTTTCTTGACTCATCCAGCAGAAACCAGTTATCAGTTGAGAGGCCAGCAAATTATCCAACCGATGAACTCTCGAATCATGTCAGTGCCCCTGTATCTGATTTTGACAAAAGTGTAAGAGACACTGTAAATGCCTCTGAACGGCTGCTCAGGGAGACCTCCCAGTACCTCCACTCCTCGGCAGAAAAACTGAGGCACAGGAGGCAAAAGTCCTTAAGAAATTACCAACTCCGTCCAACTGTTCTCCTGCCAAACAATGATGTTACGAATGATAGTACATCCTCTGCTGGACATGTTCAACCTGTAATCAAAGACACACTTGCCTCCAGCCAAAACTCCAAGAGGCCAAATCGAAAATTCCTTGAGAAGTACTTGGAGAAGAGCAAAGATAGTTTTCAGCTTCTCACAGACTCGTTGGCATCCAAGTCGGCATCGAAGTCTGAATCCTCATTTGGACTCGATAGCAGAATGAATACAGAGTATCCGCAGCAGGAATCTCTGAGTATGGAGAGCGAAGAAATTAAAAGGGGCGTGGTCAAGCATGGTGAGAGAGGAGGAGGCGATGCAGACAGACAGGTTGTCAGTCGTGTTTCTCCGAGGCCGATCAGTCCTGACAAGACCCCTCATGGAAAGAGCATCATTCTCCAAGAACACTTTGATCGAAATGGTGAGCATTTGCATCTACACAGGGACTATGATAATAGAAACTACAGCAGTACGTTGAAAGTTATGGCCTTCAGGATTGACTCGCTGTCGCATTATAATCCACTTCCTGACCACAGTGTTCAGCTGTGAGCCCAACGACTCATATTCTCAGTAAAAAAAACCTTGGAAGTCTGGTTTGATTCCTTCTAATACCAATATATTTCAGTTTACTTGGGGACTTGGAAAAAGAACTTGACTAAAACACTGGGTGGGGCCTGGTTGTCTTTTTGATCTATCAAGAAAAATAATATCAAACAATTAACTTTTGTGGTGCATTTATTTATCCACAGATCCCTTATTTATTGTTCAGACGGCTCAGGAATTGCTGACGCTGGCAGCTCACAAAATGCAAGAACGACAACAAAACAGTCCAGGTAAACATTTTGTCTTGGAGCTCCATTCCTTTGACTTTGGCTTGTGTCTCGAAGCTGACATCATGGGTCTACAATTGCATCATCATACTACTGAGGCCTTTGGCATACCTTTCATGCATCTCTTGCATAAACTTTGCAAGAATTGCACAAATTTGCAAAAGTTTTAAATAGAGCACAACACCTTGTATGGTCAATTTTCTTGAAAAAAAAAAGTGACTTGTAAAAATTCTAAATAAAATTCAGCGTCGAAGTATAGAAAAAATTTCTTTGCATATAGAATCATGGATTGTTATTTTTGAAAGTTGTCTTGAAAACAATTTTCCTTGTTCAATGTGGAATCAGTTCGTTCACCAAGTTAGTTTTCCTGCTGATTGATAATGATCTGTCTTGACAGGTGGAATAGACTGGCAGAAGAGGTATGAAATGGAGAAGGATCTGAACCGAGAGAAAGACAAGAGAATAAGGGAACTTGAAGGTAATCAACCAAGACAAATCTTCATCAGATTTAGGTTGTTTTTTTTGGTTGGTCAAACTTATAATTATAGATTTTTTAGTCTTCTTCGTGTACGAGTCTTATTTGAATATTTTTGGTATAAATTGTTTTAATACCATTTGCTGGGTTTATTGTCAGTTAATCATAATCCAACTATGTGGCATTTATTTGTACAGCTGATAGCAGAAAAACTTTACGTCTTCAACATAATGCAAAGTTTTCCAATTCAAACTCTACTCATACTTTTTTTGACGTTATATACAAAATTCCTCAAATGTTTAACTGGATCCAGTAAAATGGAAGCATTCTGCATTCAGTGACTGCACAGTGCACTTAAACACAATGTTGTGTCAATTTGAAACATGCACTCAATGGGTAGTTACTTCAATGAACAGCGCCCTCTTGTGACAAAATATAGACTTTAAACCTTTTTGTGTTGTTTGTCTCTTCCCTCAGGACTTTTGAAGGAGGAGCAAAGGAAACGGCAAGACATTGAGGTCCAGCTCAGGGCGATACGTCTGCAAAAGTTGTAGGACTATTCTCTGTTGTTCATTAGTTTGTCGCTTGTTAAAACACTAACTGCTTCTGTTTCCATGGGACCAGGAAAACTTCACATAGTGTTTCCCCTTACTCAGCATTTTTCACTTTACTGTAAAAAAAGTATTATAATTGACATTTCACTAAAGATTTCTTAAAGTACATGCGAGTACATATACTGGTCATTCTATAAATTCGGTGTCCATATTTTTTTCCTGTCCTTGTTACATGTGACATGACTTTGTTGTTCTTGATGCACTCCTTAATGCAGTCATCCTCCAAGAGTGATTATGAATAGCAAACTACCTACCTAACAAATAGAACATTGTTTGAAGTCATTCTTTATGATACTTGAATGGCAAATTACAAAGTACCAAGGTAACAGGGACAGGAAAAATGTCACACTTTGAACCCTAAATTTATAGAATGATTCATTTTGGGCTTAACAACAATACTAGCTCTTCCTTCAAGAACAAAAAACGTCCTTGGAAAAGACCCACAATTCAAACAGAACAAAACATATAACAAATCCCCGTTTTTGGCCGTTGAGTGGAATTGATGTCCCCAAAATAAATTTTCAAAATATGGATTTTCTACAGAATCGCCAACTTTATTGCATTTCATTGTTACCTCCCAGGGGAAGCTCAAGGGGAAACAATTTAACTGGATACTTTAAGTTGGGATCCACCACACATGTAGCAACCTATCCCACTATTTCCTGCTTGAGTAAAATAGACTCACTTTATGTCCCATGACATATCTCCACTCCCTGTTCCCAAGACCTTCCTACCAAGCCATTTATAGCAGTGACCTACTAGATCATAGCACAGAGGATTTGTGGCCCTGCCCTTATTAATCAGATAATCTGTGTTTCTAATAATTTAAACAAATAAATCAGTGCTGTCTTTATGACAAATATTGCAAAGTCTGGTCAACTGATATCAGTAAAATGCTCATTGTTTTATCATTTCTTGGAACCAGCAGCAATATTGTCATTTCGTCAGCCAAACAGGTATAATGGGGGGGGGGATAACTGATCATACAAAAATATAATGAAGTTTGTTCACTTGTTCGTGTTTTTTAAGCAAATGCCAGAGTATACTTCACAAAATCCTGGGCTTTTCACAGTCATTCCTTACACTGCAGTTCAGCATTCCTTGAATGGCTAGAAGTTGCCGTTTTGTGTCATTGTACCTTTTTTGTGAAGAAGAGATTAGCGTCAGACATTAAAGGGAAAATACAACATTTGCAAACATCAAAAAACGAAATGATCAAATTATCACGAAATACCTTACTGAATTGTTAGGGACTGACAGTCTAAACCATCCTTTAAAATTGTGGCTCCTAGTGTGCTGACATTTTCAAGAAAACCTGTATTTTTCCAACGCTGGTCGGTCGACCAGCGTAGGAGAAAACTGGCTTTTTTTCAAAAATTGTTCTTAATTTTTCATATCTAGTTATTCTGATTTTTCTTTGCAATTGATTACACACCTCTGAAGGGGTACAAGCCTGCTAGACTGATTCTCTGACCTTACAATTCCCCAAAGTGTATTAATTGCTCCGTTTCATCTTAAGTGGGGTCAGGGAACCAGACTACAAGAACATGATAGGTTTTCTTGGTTTTTCCAGCATCTACAAGCCCAAAACGTGAAACAAGTCAGTTTATCAATATTTTTATTACATATTAATCCTCCAAATCCATTTTTTTCTGAAAATTGCAGCAAAAGCAAATGTTGTACATTCCCTTTAACAGAATGAAAAACTGATGAATACATCTGAAATTTTGGGGGGAGGGGGAAGAAACCAGTATTTTAAAGTTTACAGAAAGAGGCTCCTTTTTATAACCTACTATGCCTGTAGTTACAAGATCAAAGAAATCCAAATTTTATATTAAAAAAAGAATTTGGAACTATGGCAAATTTGCCCTGTATTGGTTTCGATTTTGGTTTTAAAGTTGGTTTATTTGACCAGAAAAAAAAAGGTTCTGAGCAATTAACATACCAGCCAAAATTGTTTTGTGATATTTTTTTTCATGTGAATATTTTCCGGTTAATTTGATAATAATTTTTTTAAGCTATATAAAAGCAGATCTATGAACATGTATTCATAAAAGTATATTTTACAATATAACAACCAGCACTTAAACAAGTAGGCTATTTATTGGCAATTTTAGTTTTCAAGGTTTACATCTAATTAACCCTCAGTCAAAGAACTTGTAAAAACACTGTCATCTAAAAAAATAGCATCTGCCTTCATGCAACCCTGGAATATTTGTTTGGTTGCTAACTAGCAACGACACTAATGCTTCACTGCATCACTGTAGCCAGTCCCCATATCCCACAATAGGAATGTTGTGGTATTACATTTGTGACACCGTTTTGCCTGGGGTGTCACTGTATTGTCATTTCCCACGGTGGGGGGCCAACGGAGAGCCATTGTCTTATTGAACTTAACAATAGTTTGGCCACAAGATGGCGCCACACACAAAAGCTGAGTCATTGGTGACGTATCTTTTGTGTTTGCACAATCGATTGCAGCCAGTTGCCTTACCCACTGTCTGTGTGGCCCAGTGCCAAAATCATCATCATGAATAACATCCCTCAAGGGTTTATTGGAATCACCCAAATAAATTTTAGCTGCTGTTGTTCCCTCTCAATTTACACCCCTATAAATGTTGATTGGAATCACCCCAATAAACAGAAGTGTGTAAAGCTGAGTGCATGTGGCATGAAGCATGGACTCTTTTCCAGTCTGTTCGAGTTGCTACCAGAAAATTCTCAGTGTCTGGTGATTTTGACTCATAGACTCTCACAAGATTAAAAAAATATGGTTGTTTTCCATCATGGTTTGTGGGTTGTCAAAATTAGTCTGTGGTGTTTCTTAAACCACTACCTCCAATTATTTTCATACCAAGGTTGGGAAACATTTTGGAATGTGTGGCATCAAAATAAACATTTGCTTATCCATGTTGAATTTTTCTTGTCTAAGCTGGAATGTCAATAATCATGATCTTGACTTGTGATCGTTGACCCTGAAATCATGCAATGGAATGGCTGGCAGTCTTTCAAGAATTCACCACTTCAAGCCTTGCGGAAGGTTACATTTTTGTCTGCGGTTTGAAGAAAAGATTTGCCTCAATGCCTAAACCTTGGCTTCTCTGAATCCAAATATGGCAATGTTTTGGGCCTCATAATTTACATGTTAATTTGCACACCATGAAATATTAAAATACAATGAAAAGGTGTTGGAGAATATTCAAAAATGATTTGGAGACGGTGAATATCAAATTAAAAATACAATGTACGTGCGTAAAAGAAGCATAAATTGTAACCACAACTTAGGAGTAATATTAATAAGAATGAAGCAAGGGAAAGATTCATTGAACATTTTATTTCATTACACTTACTTATTTGTAAAAACAAAAAAGCCAATTCAGTTAATACCACTGTGAAAAATACAAGTGTTCATAAATATGCAGACATATAAATTGACAATGCTAAAACTGTAATTTTTGGTTTTTCCCACCCTACATGTACATGTACGTGAAGTACTGGCCATAGTGCAGTCGCAACAGTAAACGGTCGCAGCTTAGACTGTGGCATGTTTTCTACATTGAGCTATATATAGCAACATGTTGTCAGGGTATTTCATCAGAAGTGAAAGACTAATAATGTTACAGGCTAGAGTTACATGATGTACATGTACATGTACACGTTTTTGATCACGTTCTGTACATGCATTCTTTAGTCACTGTAATGAAATCTGTTTTTACTTCCTCATATCCTGTGTAAGTGAATGGAGGAAGGAGCATGACATGGTTTTCACCATAAACAGGACATGTACACACTCCTACTGAAACATTTAGGGAAATGACAATTGCAACGACAATGGAAAGGCATACATAGTGAAAGCCCAACATGTTTTACCAAGGACTGGTTTACATTGCAACATAAACATGTTCATGTTTAGATACATGTCAGCCCGCCATGTAATAATACAGTAATGAATGGATGCATAGTTCATGACAAACATGTATGTATGTGTATGAAATGAACCATGCAGTTTCATGGCGAGTGGTTTTTCTGGCACAAAAAAAGGACGAGTATTACAATAACCAAGGAAATATTGTGTTTAAACCTAGCTTCATGATGAAATACTGGGACAACTTTTCCGTCAGAGGAAAAATTCTTGTGTAGGAAAATTTCATGATTGCGCAATCGATTCTCGGTATCTGAACCTGACTGCTACTGCTAGCTCCATTGCTAGCTGGGCTGTTCATCTGAGCATGTCAAGTGCAGATTTCAAAATATTTGGATGGAATGCTGTGATAAAAGAAATGTCAGATTGTATAACAAACAAAAGTTGCATGGTTTTTCTTTATCAACCGTTAAAATGTTTCTATAGGGAAGGTATTAAGGTTGCGCAATTTATACCTAGGTTCTGAAATTGACTTTCTGATTTTTCTGTCGTGGTTCTTGCATCATCTCTGCATGTACATGTATGAACACAACAGCTGGCAAACTGAACTTTGTTTTCTTATCAAAAAGTTTGAGACTAGACAGTTGACTAGATAGATGGACATGAATTGTTCTTAATGCACTTGGCACCTGATTACCCTTCATGTATTGTTTTTTTGTAAATTAACAAAGCCATCGCTTGTTTTGAATATAATCATTTGAGCCGAACTTTGGACTGTTAAATAGATTATCTGACTCATATTTGCATGTTTGTGTACGTGCCATGACTGTCAACAAGAGACCGCTCAGCCCACCGCAGTGACAAATAACCATAGGACCTTTTACCTAGAAATTGGGAACTTGCCCAAGCATGAATTTCCTGATGAATTGCAAATTTCACGTGATTGTGTTGCGGATTTTTACCCTGACCTCAAAATGCTAACCTTGTATGGGATAAATATTGTACTTGAGATTTGAATTGTGTACTTCGTAGATAAAATACAATGGTGAATGCAAAATAATTCCCGAGGGAATAATGAATATTGATGAGATGGAATTGATAATCACAATCACTTTGATGACGAACCATATGTAAATATATGTACTTTTATATTTATACAGCAGCCATAAGACTTAGATTACTCATGTACAATGATAACTTTTAATAATATAGATTTGTACATGTTAGGAGTGTACCTAATCCTATAAGATTTTAGTTTTGAAAACACTCATATTATTCTATGAATAATGACTGATGCATATGGAAGTTCACATGTGAAGCGTGCTCCTCCCAATGTCAAGTCATTGGGGGTTGGGAGTAGCTGTGCTGTGTAATTCAAAAGTTATATTTCCAAATAATCCAATAAAAGACAAGTTACACACATTTTTGCTTGCTCACATTTATTTATTTTCTCTTAATGTACATTATATATAGTGCTTGTGTTGGTGATTATCATTCAAAGTAATATAAAAAGGAAAGATACAAGTGTTTATTTACTGGTAGTCTTGCTTAATTGCTATTTTAAATAGACGTCAGTTTTAAGCACAGAGAGTATAAGCCAGCAATCCAACCAAATTTCTTTCCAGTATTTTCTCTTATTATTGGGAAGATTTAGTTGTGATACATCATGAACATGTCACATACAATGATCGTCCACGACCAGAACTTTGAAAATGGATCCAATTGTTCTGGCTCATACACTGTCTCAAGCATAGCCACAAAAGTGATACATGCAGTTCCAACACCAGTAATCCCTAAAAATGGATTACTACAGGGGAAAATCATAAATATTGTGTAAATTTTCCAGTTAACTTTCATGTGAAGTGACGTGTGACCCAGTCTGGCTGTTGGGGCATCGGTAAAATATTACGACCATTTTTAAATAGTTACAGGCAAAAGGCAGTCTGTATTGGACATAAACAAACATAACTTTGAGCCTGTAATTTTTCTATAGACCATTGATCACGAGTGTAATGTTCAAGTAAATGTGTGGTTCCAAATATGGAAAAGCCAAATGTTCGGTGAAGGAAATGCATGACTATTCAAAATGTCAACCAGAATTTTCAATAAACCAGGAAGTATGCTTGCAGTTCACGCCCACCTTACATGAGGCAATTTTTAAATATTGCATTGCTGTAGTCTGTCTTACATATATGAGTACCATAATAATTTGACATCTTGAATATAAATAAAATGTTACATTTTGAAACATTTTTGTTGTCATAGGCTTGTAGCACTTACGAATTGGACACCACACAGGAATAGTGGATGACACCAAAAACCAATTCTGTGCCATCTCTAACAGAAAGTGTTCTTCTCAGAAGATACGGTGTTTGCAAATTGTGAATGTAGAATCAAAATATCTGGATCCCCCAATTGAGGTCTTCTTTCAACAAAATTCTATACAGTTGCCAGCCAGATTAGGTCGAGTTTTAATCATTATTTACATACCAAGATGGTTTTGCTAGCACTAGCACAGTACACCACATCAAATCATACAATTATTCTAATAAACTGTACATTTTTTGTGTCTTACGAATACAATATTGCACGTCATACGATGTCCTTAGCAGTACAGTTCTACCGCATGATCACTTCAGATCGAAATCTGTTTGAAGTGGGTTCTGTGTTTCATATTAGGCATTGCTTGAAATCAGTTTTGGTCTTCAGAAGCATACTTTCCATCAACCCTAACTTTCAGTGTATTCTACCGTGAGCCTTTAAGAATTTGCCGTTTGGGATCGGATGTATGTACAGCTAGTTATAGAAGCCCTGTTGTAGAGATATCTAGGAGGCTACACGGTGCGGTCTTCCATCCACCAAAATAGTTCAGAACCTGGTGTGAATTTTTGAGGATGCAGTGAAGTTAGGGTTGAAAATGGGAGAGTAAAAAGTTACCTGAAGTTACTGAATAGTTCATACATGTGCACTTGCAAATATTTAACTTCAAGCACCACTTTAACTTTCAATGTTGCACCGATCAGTTTGCACAAAAACAAGGTATCTACAACCTGCGTACACTTCTCCAAAATGCTGGAAATAATTTCAAGCAGTGCCAAATAACAATCACAAATATGGAAATCACTGTTATTTTAAAAGTACAGATAACACTCAATACACTTCACACCCTTGCAGGTCACAAACTGCTGAGCAGGCACCACACTGTCACAAACATGTACTTGAGTTTACACATACATATGTAGTTATACAACATTTGTTTCAATGTCATGCAACATTGTCAATGTTTTCCATATTTGACACGTGTATGCACCATATTTATAGTGCATGCTGAGCACTTGTGTGTAAACATTGTTCACTGTTGGCACACACCCAGCAAGCCAAATGAACCTTTATAAAATACAAATTAATCATTCGCAGAGGCAATATGTTATGCATTGTAAAGGGGCGTGTGCTCCTTTCACTGTGGGTCGTGCCCCCGCACACAGAGCACTCTGCAGACAACACTGCATGTGCTTATGGCTATGCAAATTTCAAAATTACACATTAAATACTTGTGGAAAAAGTTTCACAGGAATGACTTTCTTAGGCTATTTTAAGAATGAATGGCACTTGCCAAAGTTTTTAAATACACAAAGAAGTTAAGTTTTGGAGGGTGCACAAAGAAAAATGTAAGTGTAACTAAGCAAAGGCATTCGATAGAACACAAATCAGCTGCAATGTGACCAACCTATTTCAATGGAAATTTATGTAAATTATATTCATCCAAGCGAGAGTGTTTTCAAAATGGCAATCTCTGCATCTCAGCGGACCAGAATTTTCAATGCACATCAAGCAAACTTTCTTTTAATCCATAGCATTATTTTCATTTGGTATGTTTAAACAGTTGTATTTCGCGAATTAAATAAAATCTGGCCAAAAATGTACAATTGTAGCCCAACCACCAGTTTTTAAAGGCTTATGGCTAATTCTCATGCATCTTTCATTTCAGTGAGCTTCCTTATTCGTCTTGAAGTTTCAAAAGAAGCAAGAAATTTTAATTGAGTAAAAGAAAGTACTTTTTTTACGTTTTGAAAATTGAACCCACAAGTTTTGGGGCTTTAATAATATGCTAACATTTTGCAAATCTAGTAAAATATATTGTAATTTTCCTCAAGTTTTTGACTTCTAATAGAATGCAGAATGGTAAAAACTAAGTTGAGGTTTGTACATTTGTTTACATCTGTTCAACACTTGATTATGGATAGCCAATTGTATTATATTAGCCATTTCGGTTCTTTCAATCCTGACAAAGTGTTCCAGTCATTGACTTGATGGATGATCATTGTCCGTCTGTACGCAATAACAAATAGGCCACTATCCTTTCCCCGTGTACTTCTTGCTGTACATGTAGTTTTGTTTACTTGGTCAGGAACCTCAGCGCAGCAAGTCCACCAAGTACAGCCCCTGTAACCAGTAACGAGTTGAAGGTTGCCTTCTCCTTCCAATCTTTAGCCTTGAAACTCTCATTGAAATTATCCTGCAAAGTGAAATATAAAATTTATAATTATCAAAAAGCAAGTATAAATAATTGTCATTTCCCTCCCATATGGTTCACTGACTGAATTCAGTTTTCAACAAGTTCAATTTGGATTTCCTGTATAAATTCGCATATCAAAACACAATATAACTTTTTGCTGTGCAAAATGTCACATTTTACAAAAATGTCACACTTTCACATTTTTCTATACAAATTTAATACAATATAGAGAGGCCTACAAATTTTATACGAGTCACGACTATGATGAATGATTGCTTTCCAAAGCATGAAAAAGGTGGTGGGAATTTTCAAATACCTACCCAACCACCTTGCTTCATAATCCAGGGTGTTAACTTCTCAGAGACATAGTCGCCGCAGACTTCCACAACCTCGTCAACGTACTCCGAGTTGCCATTTTCCTCACAGTATTTGGCCAGTCGAGCGGCGAACACATAAACCATTACAACGCGACCCCAATTTACAGCACCTTCCTCGAACATGGCATTCAGGCTGACGCTGAACAGCTCTTTTCCGGCGCCATGTTTCTTTGGGTCGTACTGGAGATTGTTCACAAGTCCGTTCAGTGAAATAGCGTATCTTTCCTCAACCTCACGCCCAACCCTCCGCAGTGTTTCGGAGTACTTGCAGGGTGGCCGCCCGACATTCGACTGCAGTTTGAAATGGATAAAGTCCTCACTCAGTCTCTTGCTAATTCTCCTGCATTCTGCCTCCTGGCTGGGCGACAACGAGTTTCCGTTCAGTTCTTCTGTGGGACTCGGCGGTGAGTCTTTCGAGTCGTTGCCGGTATAAAACAGCTTTGAAATCATGTTTTTCTGCGGAGAATCACCATTCAAAATTGTTTCTGCCATACTGTGAAGTGTATGTAGTTGTTTCCAAGGGTATAAAATACACACAAGTCAAAACTCTTCTTAAAAAGAGCGGTTTTCCCAAACCAGTTACCCCTACTAAAAAACACTGTTCAGTCGGCCGAATGCAAACGCGGACAGAAAACACTCAATGAAAATGCGTCGCAACAGCGCTGGTCAGCGCGTCTGTTTTGATACTTCGGCCGTTCGGAGGCCTGACGAAAAATGCCGAGGAACCATTCGGCCATAATATTCGGGTCTAGGAATTTCGAGAGAGGGTATTTTTAGAATGACGCACGAGACGAGCCTTTGTGACGTCACGGCTTCTCAGAAGTGTTGTTTTTCTGGCATAATGAATTGGAATATTCCATTGCTATGATAGGGTTAAGCCTCAAAATCTTGTATTGACTGACGTGATAAAATAATTTCGAAGGTATGTCGCTGTTACAGTTGCAAAATAAAACTAGCTATTTTACTATAGAATATATTATGTATTACAAATACTAAAAAAAAAAATCCTTTAGAGCCTATATATCAGCCATAAAATAGTTTAATTAATTCTCCTTTTGTATTCCCCCTTTTTACTAAAGTGAAAGAACCTCTACACACGTAGTACACGTACTGGTGTTTGTCCATGTCGTCGGCGGTACGCGGTAGGCTCATTCCCGATGATGAAATTTAACATGTTTTGTCGACATGCATAATGTTTTGTTGTGAAAATTCACCAAAATGGCCGCTCTCCGGGATCGCTGATTGCTGCATATCCTACTTCCGCAACTTGTGAATCGTTTCCTTCAGAAATCTAAATTTGGTCGAGCATTATAGCCTGATTTAACAATCTTGTATTTCGTGAATCTGACCATTCTCATTCTGGAACAAGACTCGAGCTAGACGAAAAGTCCCGGTAGGCCTATGCCCATTTTATAGACTATAGTTACAATGAGTTACGGGGGTTTTTTTTGGGGGGGGGGGGGGGTCTAACCATAGGTCTAACTTACCTGCTTATCGATCAATGTATTCCAATTCATTATTTATAAGTTCACAGGATTATGTATATAAAATATGTTATCCGTGTTTATGTGTGTAACATAAATACATATTTTGTACATGTACGCATGATTATTTTGTTGTGATGTAATTCTGTAAAAAATAACACCAACACGCCAACTAAACCTAGGTAAATCATGTAGGCTAAATGAGATCAAGATAATCATCGTTTTTTTTTAAGATGAATGATGTCTTAATTGCAATGAAATCTGAAGTCATGGCCCATGGGCATAACTTAATAAGCAATTTAATATAAAAACTCAGTATTGATGCATTTGTTTTTGTGTTTCCTTGACAGAATTTAAAGAAGCAGCAAAATGGTCCACAGTGTCAACAACACTAAGAGCTGGCCATCGTCACGGCAACCAGACGGCTGGCAGCAGTTAGCCAATCAGGTGCTTCGTGATCAGGAGTGCCTCTACAATGCCAGCCGAGGGGTGCAGTGCCGCCCTGTTGAGAACGTCCCTGCGAGGGACATCGGAGTTGCCCTGCGGCACCTCGCTGACAATTGGCTGTATGTGAGACAGGTTGGGTACCAGATGAGGACAATTGCTGACGAGGTGTATGCCAGACATCAGAGGAGACACAACAGGCCGACGTAGCGTTACTGTCCATTCCTTACTTCCAAGGCTGTTAAACAGCACAATGAATAATGGCGCCACAAGACCAATCGGAATCGGGGGATGGGGGGATGTGACACTCCCACCCCCCCCCCCCCCCCTCCCTCTAGCGACACCACTGACAATGGACACTACACAGTGCCGAGTTTTTGAGAAACCAGACGCATTGCAGAGTTATTTAAGAGACCATCCCCATGACACCCAGCTGAGCAAGAGTTTATGAAAAACTTATCAATGAGCATTTGAGAAATGAACTGATTTCGAGTAAAAGCCACTCGGCAAAATATTGTCATGGTGCCTGTCTGCCATATCCACCCATTCAGTTTATGTACTGTTACATCCCGAAATACAAGCAGAAACTGTCGCTGCATGTTTGTGAAATGATGGCAGTCATGGCACCATTAACAAAATGATAGCTCACTCCGAGCAATAATAGCTCACAGAGCCGCGGCAGTCTTAAATCCTCAGGCGAAACTGAATTTGTATGCCTCTGATATGATTCAAAGGATTAATAATTTGTCTGATTTCAGTTGACCAACTACAAGTTGCAAAGATTCAATCTGCTGCCACTTACTATGCACATGATTTATCTTCAGTTTTCTGTGCACATACAGTGAAACTGTTTGTGTATGTACATACATGTAATTACATAATGAGGCTCCCCAACAAAAATGTGTTTTGTTGGATAGTATTCAATGTTTGGTCATTTCATGTGAAATCTGCAATTTTTTTTCCCAGAAATATCAATTTTGATAAAAAAATTCAGCATTGAAGGAACTCATCACTTAAGTTCGACACCCCAGTGTCAAAAAGTCCCGAATTTAGAGTTCATCAAAATTTTGACTTTTTGCGTAAAACCAAGTTTCAGTTTTTGCCGATACATTCAACACATGTTGTGTCATGCATCATTGGACTTCTCATTGGATTGCCTTTTGATTTTGATGCGTAATTTGTGAACATTCAGTCAGTGTGACTCTCATCTGACCTCTGAACCTTATTGTGACCTTTAACCAAAGTTTTAAGTCATTAATTTGCTTAAAAGTTCAACCTGGTAACTTATTTATGTTATGGCAATTAATCGTGTGATAATTTGGGTCAATGAATTTGGGTCAAAGGTCAGATAAGGGTCACACAAAGTAAAGGTCCTCAAGGCATCGACAGAAAGAAAAGTGATTCGGCTTTCTAATGATGTATATACATGTCTGTTGCATGTTATGCTGAAAAATTGAAATATTTCAATAATTATCAGCCCCAAAGGTTCAACATTTTGGTGCTTTGGGAAACTTTCTGACACAGGGGTTGATTTTGCCTGTGGTGAGTTCCTTATGCAACATCAGCACTAGAATGTCCTTTTTTCATCAAAATTGATGACTCGGAAAAAATGTGTACATATTTTAAGATGAAATGACCATATTTATAAACTATATTATTATTTATGTGTGTGTGTATTCCTTGATAATGCCTGAGCCAAGTTACTTATGGTCTCTATATAGCACTCTTATGTTGATACTGGTGTACTACAGGCATTCAGGCTGAGGTTGAGCATTTATTGATGTTTTCATCTAAAAAATGTGTTATTTTGTAACCTGGTCTTGTTACCTAAAATATTGTCATCTTAACTCACCAATGTACTCTTTTGCTTTTCGAAGTTTGTCAACTGCCTGAATATATCCAAATACTATTGGAAACTGAAGTTTTCCAGCCGTGCACAAAACAGCAATAGGCCATCTATAAACAAATCCAAGCACGTGGTCCATGTACACACATGAGGCCCCCTTCAATGGCCAAAGCATTGTGCAAGCTATTGTGAAAAGCAACTGCCCCGTGACGGATTCTCTGAACAATAGCCGGCAAATGCTGTCGCCATTGAAGGGGGCCTTCGTGATAGAATTGACAGCATGCCCAGATTGGTCTGTGGGTGAAGCTGAGATTTGCCACTGGCTGGCTAAGCCCACAATACATGTACTCCAACATATTTCAAAGTGCCTAAAATACCGAACATTGAAATAATACAAGAGCCCTCAAACACAATTGATGTGTACAGTTCATAATTTAATATTTGCTAGAAATGGTGTTTAATATTAATTTGGTTAATACACAATTGTCTACCTTTATGAAGTTATGGTTCACAACTTCAACTTTCAATACATATATGATCTACCTCTGTTGAATAATAGAACAGACAGTCTGCGGCAAAAAGGAACTTGAATTAACTACTTAACATTTAATCAGGCATGTTGGCAAAAATCCTTAACAACATGGCAGCAAAGTTGACATATAATATACCCTTGTTACTGTTTTTGTATTGTAAGATCAACTGTGTAAGATAATTAGTATGTCCAACATTCACTATTCAGGATTTGTGGAATAAAATATTTGAGAATATTAAACTTAAACATGTGCGAATTGTGTTGACATATCAAGGGCAGATTTTGGGAGGGGTGGTTAGCCTTGGGCGGTGTACCAACCCAAAATTTTAATTGAATGTATATTTAGCAGTAGAAACTGCTAACATACATATATTAACCCTTGTGAACAGCGCCTCCAAGTATCAAATCATGTCCCCCAACTTTTTCAGTGCTTTGCACCCCCCCCCCCCAAAAAAAAATACTGGCGACGCCCATGCACATAATGTGGAAAATGTACTTTATTTTAAATAAGGCCAAACAATTACAAATCTGGATTCATTGGTCTCTCTCTCTATGTTGACTTAACACATCAGCTTAACCCTGACCCCGCCCCTTAAAGGGAACATTTTGCTTGTGGGGATTTTTTTTTTTTCGTTTGCAGAAACAAATTGCTCAAAATCTTAGAAGGGTGCATAACAACTAATTATTGAAGTTTCAACCTGGTGGGTATTATTCATTTTAAAACGCACGGTAGGCCTGCAATGTATGAGTTCTCGTAATTGGTTCTGTTGCAAGGCACAATACAAACGTGTGCCCGTGGTCACATTGTCTTCTGAATGATACCATTTGAGTCGGAATTATTTCACAGGGTATTTAGTACCAGTCCTATCTTCACTTTGAGCAAGGATTTTCTCGTTAAATTGGTACCTTATTTTCGGGTAAATGCAAATGTCCACACGAACTTAAACAAAATCTAGCAGTCATCGCCACAGCTGAGAGAAAACTGTCATTTAGTTGTCTGATTTTTCATTGGCGTCACTATATAACTACGAGAAGGCAGGGGGCACGTTCCCCAGCAGAGGTCCGTGTCCCCCTAGGGCCCCCCCCCCCCTCACCCACAAAATAAAATGCTCGAACCCACGACCCTCGCGTTATTAGCACGATGTTCTGGCGACTGAGCTAACCGACCTTGCTTTCATAAAGTCTTGATCAGTGCACTTGACGCATTAATACTGAAGATATCATTGATAGAATGAAGCAATGTATCTAGCAGGAGGTTAACCCAGGCCTATAGACATTTTGAAAGGTGTGCCATGGCAGTGTAGAGGTTTCAACTGTGTATAACACTGGAAGAAAGACCTGAGTGCCCACTTTCATGGCGCACCGTGCAAAGGGTCTATAATTTTACCAACCTCAAATCCCCAAAGAATGGCGGGATCACCACGTGGATGGGCGTGTCAGTCAATCAAAAAAAAAATATGATTTCAAAACATAATCTAAAATTGCAATGTCGAATTTGAGGATCAGTCAACATGGTGACTATCACTTTTAGGACGAAAAGAGAAAAAAATTGCCTTTTCACGTGCTCCAACCGCACAAAAAATATGGTCAGTGTGGGGCTCGAACCCACGACCCTCGCGTTATTAGCACGATGCTCTGCCGACTGAGCTAACCGACCTCGTGATATACGGACCTGTAATCGCGAACACCAAATATAATTCGGGATGATCAGATGATCTACAAGACATAGGTTTCGTGCATAAATTGGTATTAAAAAGCCGAGAGGTTCACATGCTCCTACATGTTGTCGAAATAGTGCTTACAATTCAATTTAATTACAGTTCAATATTTGGCCATTATGAGAATCAAGAGAAGAACGCAAGCGGGATTAGAAGACATAAAGACATTCTGACAGAAAAAAAATCCATCCCAAACTGCCTAAAAAGAATCTCATCAGCCAGTGCATACTGAGCAATGACATATGGAAGCGAAATTTGGACACTGAGCAACTAAATGAAGACTAACTTGACTTCAAACTTTACAAGGAAGTATTGAAAGGGTGATGACTGATACAGTGAGAGGGATCGTAAAACCAATGAGTGGAGCATCTATGATTTGATGGTGACAAAAAGGAATTGCATGAAGGGCACTAACCCAAGCCCCCGAACCTATCCTTATTGGTTCTCGCTTCCAAAGGTACGGTGTGGGAAAGAACTCTTTATGAAATCCTCCGAAATCCTTGAGACGTTCCAAGGCAACGGACGGTTGTGGGGCGTGGATGCAAGGGGTGGGTGAAACTCTTAAAGTGTAGCGAGTTGGGAGAATATTATCCATCGGGCTTGGGTCTCTGGAGCCTGCAGGGACGATGGGGATTATTTTCAAAACGAAATTGGTTTGATTTTTTTGTTTCACGCTTCTAAAGCCGGATTAAGGTACCCGATTGCAGATTTTTTTCTTTTCACCATGCGCAAACCGCAAAAGTATTTGGTCAGTGTGGGGCTCGAACCCACGACCCTCGCGTTATTAGCACGATGCTCTGCCGACTGAGCTAACCGACCCCGCGAAAAAGTGTGTGAAGTTACTACACAAGACCAAATACGCTGTAGATTGTAGCGTGAAGATGGGCGATGTATTTCCTACAGCCCTATAAAAAAATATCCTATATTATCATATAGGCCTAACATCACTTGAATCAACGATAAAGTACAGCAGGTCTTCACAATGGAATTTGAAAACTTGTACTTTGACAGTAAAATTGTTGTATATACTGTGATCTAACAATTCTGTAAGGACCACTGCGTCGAAAATTAAATGTGTTTTATGATTACTGTTAAATTAAAATAGTTTACGTCACATAGGGAGGAACCAGTCTGTTAGGAGGGCGCCCAACAAACAAGCCAATAAAAATGGTCAGTGTGGGGCTCGAACCCACGACCCTCGCGTTATTAGCACGATGCTCTGCCGACTGAGCTAACCGACCCTGTTTCTGCTAAATTGTCTTGCATACTGCACTTGCAGTGGCGATCCTGGCGTGGCTGCACTGGGTGTTCAATGGGCGGGGCAGGGGAGGGGGGGGGGCGGGGATGCATGAGGTACTTACGTGTTGCAGTCAACGTATAACAAGACTAAAGGCCGCCAAAAGCATGCAAGGAACTCACATTGTTAATTATGAGTGATTAAGGAAATTCGAGATTCTTGTCTATTATTTAAACAATAATATTGATCAATCAGATGGCATGGTTACTTAGCCGTTCCCCCTTATATCCAACCTTGACTTTTCCCTCAAACATTTTGACTAACATTTTTTTTTAAATCTCAAGAATCGTTCTTGGCTAGCCCATAACACTCTAGCGCCCCCAGGGTTGCGTAGCCTTGTCCATTAGCGTCGCCGAACTGTAAGCGAATAACGGGCAGGTTGGTGGAATCTGTCAGGAAGCCCTCATCAGACCGCCACACCTCGTCGTTGGCGTCGCAGTTGCACTTAAGTCCCGGGCAATCTGAGGGGGGAGATACACAAGGAAGTGGAATAAAATGAAGGATGAGGAAAAAGACTGATATTTCAAAGGTAAAACAGGAATTAAAACAAGCAAACATGCCTGTTTATGTTTGTCTGCAAACAAACCCCAACTTTTTTGTCCGTGGCTGGCCGATAATAATTTTTGTGCCAGTAACGTTTCAGTAGGCCTGCCCGCAGGTATGTATTTTATGGAATGAAAAATATTAAATCAGATGTGAATACAATAAACCGCAAGAGGGCGCTATACGGATATCCAATCCAGAGATCCAATCTAGTTCTACTTCAATATCAGAACGTCATGATTAGTTCAAACATGCATGGCAAGTCACGATTTGTCTGAAACGTATACCTTCTTACGATTAGTCTTTGGGTTGGTTTTTTTTTTGGGGGGGGGGGGAGGTCTCGGTGGGTGTTAATGAGAAATAATAAAATTTGCATATTTTTTCTTTTGGGAGCGCGTTACTGAAATCAATTCGTTCGAATTACAAAAACGCTGCTCTGTTGTCAAATGGGCAAGAAATGGTTTCTTCACACCCAGAGCAGCCTTTACTGAATCCAGGTTTTATTGCAGTCAAAAGGGAACAACTTTAGTTCTGAAGTCTCATTATTGTTTGGAATAGATAGACCATTCAAATTGTCAACTCTGTCATAAATTTTGGATAATTGGCCAAGGGGTGGTTATTACCTCCTGTAAACTGGCACTGACAGCCTTCCGTGCCAGTATCTACTCCGCCCCAATTGGTCAACCTTTCGTTGTCACGTGAAACAGCCCAGCCAATGTGGTTCCCGCCCTTTCGCCAAAGCGCAGATCCAAAGCACTCGTACTGGATGAATTGCCGGCACCAGGCAGACGCGTTGATGAGTGCAACGACAAAATCGATTGGCTGGTGGTATGTGACGTCATGAATCCAGCAGCCGGCGCCTTGGCAGCCTTCTACTGTTAATCGTGCCATGCTGTCGTGCTGAAGAATGGTGGCACCTGTCAAATAAACTAATTGATAATCAAATGATCGACCTACCCAAACAAAATGACCAGCCCGACAAGCCAGCCGACCACTGGCAGACCAGAGCAAGGGTCTCTATCGTATGGGCAGACCAAAGTCGCGGCCGATCGACCCACCGGCCGTCGGGCCCACCAATATAATACCAACCGCCCATCTAACCGACTGAGCGACCCGAACTGACCAACCGACCGACCGACTGACCAACCAACCAACCAACCAACCAACAAGCCAGTCGACCACGCACAGGTCGCACTTCCGTCCGGCCGACTTGCTGATAATCCACTTATGGAGCCCGTGTTCACGTGTGCTTGTGTTCTCGGCCAGATTGCCTCCCTCCACCCAGGAGTATGATAAATAGGTACCTGTGAAGGTAGAGACCAGAATGCGCCGATGTCGAGCTGCTGCAAAAACTGGTCTCACTGTCTGATTGAACAGTGTGAAACGCTTTGAGACCTTTGGTATGAAGCGCTAAAAAAAGCACCACATTGCAATCATTATTGTTTTATCAGATACCAGGATTTCACCCAAGAAGAAGCCAGGGATCATACCAAACCCAAACAATGAAAGCCTGTAAGTTTTCCCAAAACATGTTGGGCCGAAGGGTGAAAGTTCCGCTAAAACTGACCTGTGCTCATGTCGCAGCTGATATTCGAATGTGACACCCCCTGGCCAGGCCCATCGGGATCGATAACGTAGGTACCGTTGGTATCGTAACCGCGTTGGTTCAGATCAGCACAGGAAGTAAATGAAGGCGCTTGGGTCTGTTGAAACGCAAAATAATCCACTTTGACCAATTTAGGCTTCACGCAAAAAGTTCAATTTCAGTACTTCTAGACCCAAATGGCATCATTATGCCTATAGTAGACCGCTTTTTCAGTCTATTACTAACATTGATTAGGTTTTGAAATGATAGGAATAATCATTCGATGAGGGAAGGAACGTGAAGAGTCGTCTGTAAGGAATATAAAGACAGAATTTATCATTTTTACTACGGGACTCACCCAACCATTGCTGACTTGCAGGAAAACGGTCCCTTCCTGAGGCGTCAAATCCTTGGGCCAGTCCCTGCTGTCCGCGCCGTTCAGCTCGCACAGCCGACCCTCTCAGTGATAATTCACAGATTTGCAGCGCGCCGCTGCGGCGTGGCCACAGGGCAGGCTACGGCGGGAGTTCTCGAGGAGGCACGCTAGAAAACAGTCCTCGGGGGAGGAGAGGCGCTTGGTGGACAAGACGTGGTTTTTCAAGGTGTAGTCTTCCAACGGGTCGTACTTGGACAGCTCAGCAGAATTCCCTGCGGCTGCTTCGCACACACTGCTGGAATCCGAGGCTATGTCCCCAGAAACGCAAAACAGTTTTGCAAAAAATGCTAGAATACACAAACGGGGTAATTTAAAAAACTTAACCGCCATTTTAAACCTTTATTCCCGAATCACTTGAAAAGACAAAAGTGACAGACGCCTATTTAGGCTTGACGTTCCACTTTTGTGCAGAGGACGGTCACTTCGTGTTGTCATGAGCATGAAGTTTTGCCGTCCGTGGCCAAAACAAAAACACTGAGGGAAACGATCCATAATTGAAATTTGATTAAACTGCAAAACTAACCATGGAGAGCAGGTCATTATAAGCAAATTACAGCTGTATTTCAATTATCACCAATGGACAGGTACCCGTTGGCCATTAAAACCCTGATTTGGGACGCTGAGGCGTATAATGCTTTTTCATCACTGGCCTAATTGAAAACATACTGGCTTGCAACATACCGTGGGCCATATTGCCCATTCTTAAATTTAGACCCGTTCCCTGATCTCAGACTCAGCCGTTCGTAAAACCTCAAAGTGGAACGTTTTCATATGAGCGCGGAGTTCGGGGCCGCTTAACCCTGAAAAGATGCCCTTTTCCTGGCCATTTTCTCTTGAATTTTTGAGCACAACTTTATAAGCGCAACATTGAGAACCGTTAAAATGGAGCTCAACAAACGTGGATCATGTTGGCGGCCATTCTTTTCTTTTAAATTTCTGTGCGGAACTCGTCCCTGAGTGGGGGGGGGGGGGGGGGGGTCGTTCGAACCCCCGTAACGCCCCAAACACCCATTGCACGGGCCTGTAACTTAAAGCGACATGTATACATAAGTAAATAAGATTTGAAAGTTTGAATGGCGGTAATGTTAATTGATGAGGGTTTGCGGTAACACCACAATACATCTTTTCAGCCGAGAAGATGCGTGGTTCTGAAATGAACAATCTTATAGCCACAGTTTGTTTCACTTTAGGCGAGTGACTAGGTCTATGTCATGTTTTGGAAGCTTGGCTTGTAACATTTAAACACGAGGTTTTTACCGAAAATGGGGAAACAATACACGCTTCATAATTAGCATTCGTCATATTTAGAGTCGTTGTGGTCACATTGTGTTGGGGGGGGGGGGTATTAATGCCTCTTAAATCGACTCCATCACTGATTTCACCAATTCTTACACAGATCAAAGTCACATTGAATTCTAACAAATTTGTTGCTATTGTGCGTTTTAATTTGCTTACGAGTACTATGTGAAAGACAAAATTCCTATCAAGATCAAACGATTGGAAGACTTTTAAAAAATGTTTCAGTAAAGAAATGGAATGTCTGTACCAGGCACATTCAACATGCAATTACCAAAAATATAACTGTATAGATTTTTTTTCAAAGTTGAATATACATCTTTAAAGCCTTGCATATGTAAAGTTTTCCAATGTAATTATTAAAATATAGTACTATTCGTGATAGTTTACAAGAACCAATTATTACACAGAACAATACTTTCTTTAGTTTCTAATAACATTTTCAAATAACTAATACTTTACTGATGGTGTATGTACATCATTGGGTGCATAAAAAGATTATTAATGTGCACATCAAACATGGAATAACTGTCAGATTTTGAATTAGGCACTCCCAACCCCTAACTCCAACAATGTTAATGTGAGTGCTTTTCGTTCAAACAATGTACTTTTCTTAAAGAGAAATCAAATAAATGATTTTTTCTTAGCACAGCGAGGATGAACTGACTTTCAGGATCTTGCTCCTCTGGTATAGCCACAGGTTTATCAATGTTGCTTTATTTTAGATGATTATTGCAGTCAAAAGCTCAACTTTTGTTTGACAAAAACGATTACAGGTTATTAAACCTACTCTGTACTACCTCATGGGCGTCGCTTACCCCCGCCCTCCCCCCCCCCCCCCCGAAAACGAAGGGGAAAAAAGGAAGAAACAAAAGAAAAAAATGCTCCCCTGCTCACGCTCAGAAAAATGATAAATTGAGAATAGAATGAAAAAGTTAAAGAATTTTGGGGACAAATTTGCTTTGCCCCCCCCCCCCCCCCCCCCCCCCGGAAAAAATCCTGACGATGCCCATGACTACCTTTACAATGCTGGGGCGTCATTACCACACCGAGTACAAAATATTCATAGGTCTGCTCCTAACTACAATTGATAGCAAAAACATACACACAAACATATTTCAATATATATTCCTACAAAAATATACGTACTCAAGAGAAATTCTCCATTTATCTTCAATATATTGTAAAAAAAAAAAATACTTCAAAGAGAATTATTAGTACAAAATATTAACAACTGTTATTTTCCTACATTTCACATAATTGATTGATCGGAGGCACAAATGCTTTGCAGTGGTAGAATTCTGTTGGCTTGAACTGGACGACCACAATCTAATTGCCGTGACAGATGTTTATCCCCTCCCCATCATATGTATTACCCCTTCTGCTTCCCCACTCCACCCCCCCCCCCCCAACTGTAATAACGTAGGATCTAAAACTCTCCCTTTCCATGTCATCCATCTTGACATCATTTTCTCTTCATTTCTTCTCCTGTTCTTGTTTTCTGAATTTCTTGGCGATAGCAAGGAATTCCAGCACGTCTTCCTCCGAGCCCATGATGACCGGGCAGCGTTCATGGATCTCCGTGGGTTGGATGGACAGGATAGTCTTGGTACCCGTAGTGGCCAGTCCTCCGGCCTGCTCCATGATGAAAGCCATGGGGTTGGACTCGTACAGAAGACGGATCTGTGTGGATGTACAAATGGAAGATTGAAATCAGAATTGTAGTCTTGTCAATCACAAGTCAATCACAAGTCACCATGAGTCAGATATCAATGACTAGTCAATCACATAATACAAGTCAATCACAAGACAATCACAAGTCAAACACTAGTCAATCACAAGACAATCACAGGTCAATTACAAGTCAATCACAAGACAATCACAGGTCAATTACAAGTCCATCACAAGTCCATCACAAGACAATCACAAGTCCATCACAAGTCACCATGAGTCAGATATCAATGACTAGTCAATCACATAATACAAGTCAATAACAAGACAATCACAAGACAATCACAAGTCAATCACAAGTCAATCACAAGACAATCACAGGTCAATTACAAGTCAATCACAAGTCAATCACAAGTCACCAAGAGTCAGATATCAATGACTAGTCAATCACATAATACAAGTCCATCACAAGTCCATCACAAGACAATCACAGGTCCATCACAAGTCCATCACAAGACAATCAAAGGTCAATCATAATTCACCCACAAGTCTTCTGCAATTCAATCAGAATTCCATCACAAGTCAATCACAAAACCAGCGCAAAAAAATCCCAACTTGTCCAGTATCGCATCAAGTCACATGCTGTTCAAATGAACTGCGTCACAGTCACATCCTCTGTCATGGTTCATGCCCTGCTACATATGACCTGGCTCATGATGCACTTGCGATTCCACTGTTGATTGACTTGTGAGTTGATTTGTGATGAACATAACAACCACTCGGATTGAAATGCACACTTGGCATATTGTCAATTAATTATTTTCCCATGCAAAATATCTAGTGCCCCACCTAATCATCACTTGCTGCAAGGTTCTTGAAGGGTGATTAGCTGACAATGTAAATTAAGATCCAGATTCAGAGATCAGGAATAAAATACGGCCAAGTGGACTCCAGACTAATTTGAAGCTATTAAGGCTTTGTCATTGATGTTCTACAGTAACAATCCAAAGCCACAGACAAAATGCACATTTTGGATACAGTCTTAAAGGTACGTGTCTTTACCTTCCCGTTAGGGTTAGTCTTGTTTCCAGGGTATAAGAAGATCCCTCCATACACCAGTGTACGATGCACATCAGCCACCATGGAGCCAATGTAGCGAGCGTTGTAGGCCTTCATACCATCCTGATGAGAAGGAAACAGAAAAAGAACGAATGACTGAGGCACTTGTTTACTCACAAATGGAAATGTGTAGAGGAGGTTGACAGGACTCACAGCCAGTCTAATCACAAGGTGAAATAATTTCACCCTATGGGCTCCGTGCGCCATAAGAGAGGACGTTTTTTACCACTTTTGCGGGCGATTGTTGAGGGCGTAGTTGCGCGAAAAGGCGCAGCGCGTCCCCCAGTCTGTTGCTAGCCAGGGGTGCGGAGCACACGCATAATCTACTCGCTGTTGAGTGTACGTGAGGTGCGCATACACTGTACTGTGTGTATAGCTGGAGGTACGGACTGCACGGCCACGTCTGTGTGACATGTCGGCGTGCGTATTGGTGGGGCCTGTGAGTACGTGTGTACATCATTTTGTGCTTAATTGGATTAATTAACGGGTGGCTTGGGTGCACTGCATAGTGTTCGTTACAGACCCAATTGGGGCAGTAGCACACACTGTTGAAGGCATGCAATCAGCGCGCAGGTTCATTTTCTACCCAGGCTGTCATGGATTTCATCTATTGGTGTTGCAAAGTTACTCTAATAAGTGTGTTAAACTTAATCATTTGTGTCACTTATTGCATTGTCTGCTGACTCATTCAGTTATCTTGCCTGTTGACGGGGATATATTTTCTCCAAACGGACGGCATCTACGTTCCACTCACGCGCGCTGCACTCAACCACTCGGGTGTCGGGGCATGGGTAGAGTAAAACCGCCACAAATGGAATGAGAGGAATGGTTTAAAAGGAAAATACAACATTTGCAAACATCAAAAAATAAAACTACCAAATCATTTTGAAATACCTTGCTGGACTGTTAGTGAATGACAGTGTAAAGCATCCTGTAAAATCATGGCACCTGGTATACTGTCATTTTCAAGAAAAGTGGTATTTTGTATCAATTTCCAACGCTGATCGGCCGATCAGCGTTGGAAAAAACTGGCTTTTTTTCAAATACTGGCCCCAATTGACCATCGCACTTGTTTGCAATCGATAACAAACCTATGAACGGGTACGAGCCAGCTAGACTGGTTCCCTGACCTTACAATTCCCCAATGTATGTAAACTGCTCTGTTTCTTCTTATATGGAGTCAGGGAACCAGACTACAGGAAAATGATTGATTTTCTTGGTTTTTATAGCATTTTCGAACCCAAAACCTAAAAAAAGTCGGTGTAACTATATTTGCTATATATTTCCAACCCCCCATTTCCATCCATTTCTGAAAATTACAGCAAAAGCAAATGATGTATATTCCCTTTAAAGTGTTAACTTAAACTGTTTAATGTGGGTCAAATAACATGCACAAGATACTGAACTGTTTGGGTTGCACAGCGGTTGCCTGTGGGTGTGACGTCACCCCTCACATGGTCTATACGACAGCACTGCCCGACTCAGGGGAGGAAGTCAGTCAGTCAGTTGGTCATTGAGACAGGTGCAAAGAGGATATAGGCTGCCCTCTGGGAGTTAAGTCTGCTTGGTCACTTTAACACTCTTTTCCCATGATACACTGTTCAACTTGAATTCTGACGAGCTTACCTCAGGGAACTTCTTCTGCTTGATGTACTCAGTGACGGCCGGTTCCCACTGAGCTGCATAGCCCTCATTGATGCTGTAGATCTTGCCTCGTGGCTTGACTTGCATCAAACGGTCCGTCAAGACAAACTCACCGATAGCCTGCAACAAACAACAGAAGGCTTGGATATAAAGTGAAAAATCTAGACTATAGAGTTAGGCTGTAACTTTACATTTAATTGTCTGAATGTTTAAACACATAATCCAACCAAGAAACAAGCCTAAGCAGAATGGTATCAAAATAACACTTTGCAATCTAAAACCACTCACAACTATATAGTGTGCATCCAAAATATTTCGAGATATATTTCAACAATATATTTTGAGAAAGTTTGAGCACTTAAACATTTTTAAGGCACAGTCCTCCTACGGAACAACAGCCCAAATAATTTTACCGGACAAGTGCCCCCCCACCCCCAAAAAAGAAGACAATACATATTTTGCATTGAAAAACGGTGTTAATTTTAAATGGGAAAATTGTGAAAGGCTATCAGCAGAACGTTTGTAAAGCTGGACACCTGAGTTAGACAAATGGGACTAAAAATAGAACAGTTGTTTGAACGAACTTCAAACTAAAAGGAATGTTCCATTGGTTTCCTGCAGGGTGGATGTTTGTGGAGCATTCAAGGAGCTTCCTAAGAACAATATCTTGGGAGTAACTCATGTTTTTTCTATCATATCTGATAAGTTTGGGACTTACCGGGTCAAGCATGAAACCATTGACTCCACAGCCTGTGGTTATTACCATCATAGTAGCGCTGCCGTATAACGCATAGCCAGCAGCAACAAGATCGTTGCCAGGAACCAAGATGTCTGCCAAGGTTACTGGTCCTTCAGAAGTCTACAGTGGAAAAACAAACCCTTGAATGAACCCTCAGCTGCATACTTCTTCTTCTTCATTCATTCATTTTCATGATGACTTGATGAGTTGGGCCCAGCTGTCCCTGTCGAGCATAGCTCGATGGATGTTTTCAGGGTCATGTTTAGACGACCTTTTCGTCGAGGGGCATACAGTGAGCTGATACATAAGTTCAAAATGGCACCTGTTTGAGCTAATAAGCCAAAAGTAACTCAAACATCACAGTGCAGTTTGTATTCCATCCACTTATGACAATCAATGCCATACATTAATTCAAAAAGTAAGGAAAAGAAACTCCGGGAAGTAGTGGGGTTTACTTAACCTCAGCTTTACCTCTACCTTGAACCTTCAGCTAAAGATTCTAGCTTTACGACTGTAGGCCTGGACTTTTGGGGACTCTTGCTCAATACCAGTATTTCTGCTTAAGAAAAATTAATTCTACAGTATGATCCTGTCGCGTATTTACATAAAAAAGTAACGGCACAATTGCGAGACGACTTGTTGAGCAGGACTTGTGGCGGACATTTTATTCACATTTACTCAACATAAATATACCTACACAATGCATACCCACATACAAAGTGCGTGCACACACTCTTGTTTTACCATACTCTCGAGGACAATGCTTTGTGTTTCCCTTTGTCCCTGTAATTTAACACTCTCCCATAAACTAAGCACACAAACTTACTACAGAGAACCGTTTCCAACAAAAGACCCAACTACTGAAAGGATCTGTTGTTCTCCCTTTGTGTGTCGGTCCTCGGGGGGTTATGTAGAACACGTACATGGAGACTGAAAACACTAGTTGACCTATGACCCTGATACTACACAAGTATACATATGGAACGCCTTATCTAACAATACATCATAAACACTACAGATCCCCAACTTTAAAGTTATTACATTCAATTTGAACATCAAAGCTTTGAAACATATTTTTGAGTCGGAGATGAAGCCTAGGCTGAGACAAAGTCTAGGTTTGGTAAAGGCTCTAGATCAACCCGGCTACATGTTTAGATTACTTCATTTATTAAAGTAATAAATATCTCACCTTCTTCCAGATTGAAAAAATGGAGCCAATGGACACCAGACAGTCAATGTTGGACGACCCATCTAGGGGGTCAAACGCCACGATGTACTTGCCAGCCTGATCTGGGTCAACCACAATCATCTCCTCGTTCTCCTCCGAGATGAGTGCGCAGGTGGTGAAGGAGGACTTGAGAGCATTGATGAAGAGATCGTTGGATAAGACGTCTAGTTTCTTCTGTTCGTCACCTGTCACGTTGGTGGAGCCTGCTATGCCGAAGCTGCAGGAAATATTGAACGAAAAATCAATAACTTCTAAGGTCCAAATATCAGTTATAGACAAATTTGGAGGATGATTACTGTAACTGGCCATCAGACCATGGCTGCAGTGTGTCCACGCACACAATGATTATTCAGTGATCCACTTCAGCACAAATCAAGTCAGTTATTTACTCCCATTTTTTGGGCAAAAACCAATTAAATGTGATAAAAATAAAGGCATCCTTTCAAATAGCATACAAGCATGCAACGACAATTTCTCAAGTGAAAGACCCTAAAACACTCCATGCATGAAACAAATGGAAAAGAGGTGAACACACAGAAAGACATACTTCGTGGAAAATAATGTCACAACGAAAGTTTTGACAATTAACTTGAATTTGTTGAAACTTCCACTGGTATTCATTTGAACAATTAAAACATAAAAAAGCAGCTGTTTAATAAATCACAATGGTATTCAACATGGGAGTGATTAATCGATCATAAAAAATCCCCTACTTCCAGGCGTTGATGTACGCAAGTCAATCCTGACTTATCCTGTTGGTTACTCACAGTTTGGAGATGCCAGCTTTTCGGACGGCCGATGAGATGGCCTTGATGGCCGTCATGAGGGAGTTGAGTAGCTGCGTCAGCTCACCTGTCGCTCCCTCACACCGTTTCTGCTCCTCTAACATGAAGCGAGTCATCGTCATGAAATCTGTCTGAATTGCTTCTGAACCCATGATGGCCAACAAAAGAAGCTTCTAGGCCTCGGACAAAATGGTAAGTACTAAAGAACCTGAAAAAATAGAAAACAATGCGATAAAACTGAGGCAGTTCGGCAATGATGATGAAAAGATATCAGACCTAAAGGGCAAAAAATGTGCAAAACCATGTCAGGCCAACTTTACTCACTTATTTAGCTGACAAAATTCTCCAAAATTGTCATGAGGCAAAGACAAGGTCCTCAGTATTTGACCAGCCTAGTTTGAGGGGTCTGCATTCAATTTTAAAGGAGACTTTTCTTGACTATTTTACACCGTGATTGCAATTTGAAGCCTAGGACTAGACTGGTACATGTCCAACTGTTTGAAAAGACTAAACTCTTCAGTAGTAGCATGACTATGGAAATGTGTAGAAATAGAGACTAGGTACCAGATGTTTCTTTTGGCACAGTTGATTGATGCAGGACTGGTTGTTTCATGTGCCAGTCAATTTTATTGTGTTGCATGTTTTCAATACCTTACGTTTTGGGACCCTCACACTAGTTTTGAGAGTCTCAAATTTTCAGACTAGTAAAGATACATCTGGCCAAACAAAATATCTTGTGGACAGAATGTTGTATCCTGATGCCACGTTTTTTCATCATATAACATCTGAATGAGTGACGGTCAGTCATTACAAAAACAATTGATAGGTGTCGTTTCGGTTTGCGGTAACACCATGTGGTAATAACTACTGCTTAGAAGATAGGCCCTATTAGTTCTGAAAAGAACTTGTCCTGCTTATTATCAACTTTCGCCAAGTAGTCTCCTGACGATGACTAGAGCAGGCTAGTCGAAACGTTAAGACCAAAGACAAGTTCTTTTAGAACTTAAAGCAGGACTGTTCTTATCAGAACAAAAACTACTTAGCGAAGTTGATAATAAGCAGGGCAAGTTCTTTTCAGAACTACATATATTCTAAGCAGTAGTTATTACCACATGGTGTTACCGCAAACTGAAACGATACCGATAGGCCTACTCCACCATGCAAAGCCTCAAATTGATAGGTGCATATTATATTTACATAAGTGGTAAATAAAGCGGATTGGACGAGGGTAGAGAGTGAGAGTCGAGGAGGGAAAATAGCTGAAAGAACCATAGAAAGTAACTTTTTGGCGCTTGAAAATTGATTGAAAAAAAGTGACGTGGGCCTACGTACGTGTATGGAAAACTTTCCCACATCTATCAAAAGCCCTACAACTTAAAGTCAATCACAAGTCATCCAGTCTTGATCTTGAGTGTCATATTTTTATAGCCCTAGCATGCAGTAAAACTGAGATGTGAAAACGAAGTTGAGTGCAGAAAAAGAGCTGAGTCATTTGCTGACACCTGTCTTGCCTGTGGATGATGATGGGGCAGCCATCATGGCCATAGGCATCAGGCAGGGAATAGGCAGCCTAACATAACAGTTAGCACATGGAGGTAGAATAACATGACTACCTGACTGCCGAACATTATGCACAAGTAACTTTTTGGTGCTTCAAAATTGGGAATGTCTGAATGTGGGAAAGTTTTCCATAATGCATTGGATTGCATGTAGTCCCATAAATGTGGCCTATTTACTGGACTGCCTCCGTAAATTACCCTGGAATTGACTGGTCTACATACAGTACAAATACAAATGAGGAGGATAAGGAATTCAAATTTGTGGAAGCTGTTAGGGATTGTTACCTGACACAACATGTTGAGGTACCAACTAGAGGTAGGGGCACACAAACTCCCTCCCTATTGGATTTGGTGTTTACGAATGGACATGATATGATCAACTCGGTAGATTGTGAGGCACCACTAGGGAAGAGCGACCATGCAGTGTTGACGATAGATTTCAAGTGTTCATCAGATAGAGATACGGCACCGAAAGTTAGACTTTGTTACGACAAAGGGAATTACGACAAAATGAAGGAACTGTTAAACATAAACTGGGAGAAGGAGTTTAAGGATTGTAGTAACGATGTGAATTCTCAATGGGAAAAATTCACCCGAAGGTTCCACGAAGCTGAGGAGGAATGCATTCCTAAAAGGATCATAAGAACTAGTTCTAAACGGGGTACGATACCCTTGGATAGGAAAACGTTGGGCAAGATTAAAAAGAAAAACAGACTTTGGAAAAAATTCATCGACTCCAAGAGTGGTGAAGTCTACCAAGAGTACTGCAAATTACGGAACCAAGTGAGAAAGTGTACTAGAAAAGCTAAAAAGGAGTATGAAAAGAACCTGGCAAGGCAGGTTAAAAGGAACCCTAAAAAGTTTTGGAGCTACGTTGGAGCGAAAACAAAAGTCCGTGCAGGGATACCCAACCTATCCAAATCTGGTGATGAAAAAGGAAGTGACTACACCGAAACTGATGGGGAAAAGGCGGAAGTGTTGGGTAACTACTTTACTTCAGTATTTACGCGAGAACCAGATGGTCACTGGAACTTACCGGAGTCAGTCAACATGGCCCATGAACTGGAATCTGATATAAGTGTGGAATCTGTGTACAATGTGTTGGATAAACTAAAAACATCTAAGTCGCCAGGACCAGATAAAATTCACCCAAGGGAGTTATACGAGTTACGAGAAGTATGCAGTAAACCTCTGGCGATTATCTTCAACACTTCAGTACAAACAGGGATCCTACCCGATGATTGGAAGAGGGCCAACATCACAGCCATCCACAAGAAGGGTAGCAGAAAAGTGGCAGGCAACTATAGACCAATAAGCCTTACCAGTGTGGTCTGTAAAGTCATGGAAACTCTTATACGGAACTCACTTGTGATTACATGAAGGACAACAATCTCTTCAGCTCCAAACAGTATGGGTTTATCAGTGGCAGATCAACCGTTTTGCAACTTATCACCTTACTAAATGAGTGGACAGAGATCCTGGATATTGGTGGAGCAATCGATGTGGTATATTGTGATTTCATGAAGGCTTTCGATAAGGTCCCCCATAGACGTCTTATTGATAAGCTGCAATACTACGGTATTCAAGGGCCAATTCTAAAGTGGATTGAGGCCTTTCTCAGTAATAGGAAACAACGAGTGGCAGTAAATGGTGCATACTCCGAATGGTACGATGTCCTGAGTGGAATACCCCAGGGGTCGGTTTTAGGGCCAATCTTGTTCGTCATATACATCAACTCTCTACCAAGTGTGATAGAAGACTCAACAGTCTACCTATTTGCAGACGACACCAAGATATTTAAATGTATCTTAACCGAGGAGGATTGCGACAAACTCCAGGATGACATAAACCGCCTGGTGGGATGGACAAAGGATTCACTGCTTAAATTCAACCCAGATAAATGTAGCACTATGAGGATCGGAAAAACCAAAGTAGAAGATCAACAATATACCATGGGAGAGAACAGACACCCACTGAAGCAAGTCAAGGAAGAAAAGGACATTGGGGTCATCATCGACAATAAACTATCCTTTGGAAGTCACATGTCTACAAAGATAAATAAAGCAAATTCAATCATGGGTCTAATTAGAAGAACGTACGACCATTTGGATGAGGATAGTTTCCTGTTGTTGTATAAAGCTCTGGTAAGACCTCATCTCGAGTATGCCAACCAAGTCTGGGCACCACGTCACAAGAAACATATAACCGAAATGGAGAATGTACAGCGACGAGCAACCAAACTTATCCCAGGTCTCAAGGACATGTCATACGAGGGAAGGCTAAAACATCTCAAACTACCAACCTTGGCCTATCGGCGCATACGAGGAGATATGATAGAAATGTACAAAATACTTAGTGGAAAGTATGACAACGACGTCTCCAATTTCATCCCCCTAAGCTCCAGTGTGACCAGAGGCCATCAGTATAAGATAAACAAGGTCCGGACAAGGTTGGATGTCAGAAAGTACTCCTTTGTGCATCGATGTACTGACACATGGAATAGCCTACCAGAAGTTGTGGTTTCAGCTCCTAGTACAAAGTCCTTTGAGGGCAGATTGGATAAGATGTGGGCTTCACACCCCTTTAAATATGACATAGACACCCCAGTATCCACCTCCACACTAGGCTTGCGCACAACAGAACTCAAATCTAGTATTTATGAAGATCTGATCCTAGAGGCCACACAAGGCCTTTCATCAGAAGAGGACCTGTAAGTACCTGTAAGTACCTGTAAGTACCTGTAAGTAAACATAGGCCACGCATCCACATGTACAAAAACGTGTCGACTTTGCCAAATTTTGATTTTCACATTTAGGCTTACTTTGTAGGTTTTTTTTTGCTTTAGAAGCATTCTCACCCTCTTTATAGGCTAATCAGAAAGTGCTGCCTTTTCCAGATGTCTAATTTTTGTGAAATTTCATGTTGAAATTTTGATACGCAAACGTGTGCAAATGTATCTGGAAATTTCACGAAAAATGGACATCTGAAAAAGGCAGCACTTTCTGATTAGCCTATAAAGAGGGTGAGAATGCTTCTAAAGCAAAAAAAACCTACAAAGTAAGCCTAAATGTGAAAATCAAAATTTAGCAAAGTCGACACGATTTTTGTACATGTGGATGTGTGGCCTATGTTTACGGAGGCAGTCCAGTAAATAGGCCACATTTATGGGGCTAGATTGCATGCGACATGTGCGACATCGTCTGCTTCTCCTCAGAACTTTCTGTTCATGAAAAATACTTTGCAATGAGACCTTGTTTACTCAAGTAAAGAACACGCTTCTTCTTAGTTCCTCTATCTGTTTCTACTTGCCTCGTCAGTCCCTGCACTTCAAGTTCAACCGCACAAGACACGCTCAACAACTTCCTCAACCAGCTTGCTGCGCTGCATGCCGCTGTACGGTACCTTACTTCCGCGTGGCATGTTATTATAGCGCCCTCTATTGTCTTGGTATCGTCAAACAATAGCTTTTCAAGGCTTGAGGTGGGCGCGGCCGCAGATCTCTGCGTTTGAAACTGTGTAGTTGTTGATTGAGGGCTTATTTGAGGCAGATTGTTCGCTTTGATCATGGTAGCATAAAATGGTACGACAGTAGGGCGCGTAATGAATATGCATGATATGACGTCACTAGAAGCTCATGAGTAATATATCACGCACGGTACTGATAGATATACATGTACATGTAGATGCACACTGTATGTGCTGCATCCCACTTACCGATGATATCACATTTAACAAGTCCTCTTTCTCTACTGTCGCGCCGCCACCCTCTAGTGTCGTCCCACTTACCGATGATATCACATTTAACAAGTCCTCTTTCTACTGTCGCGCCGCCACCCTCTAGTGTCGTCCCACTTACCGATGATATCACATTTAACAAGTCCTCTTTCTACTGACGCGCCGCCACCCTCTACTGTTGCCCCACTTACCGATGATCATCAAGTGGGGCGACACGAGAGGGTGGCGGCGCGACAGTAGAAAGAGGACTTGTTAAATGTGATATCGGTAAGTGGGATGCAGCACATACAGTGTGCATCTACATGTACATGTACATGTATCTATCAGTACCATGCGTGATATATTACTCATGAGCTTCTAGTGACGTCATAGTCATGCATATTCATTACGCGCTCTACTGTCGTACCATTTTATGCTACCTTTTGATCATGCAGAATTTTACATTTTGCTGAGGTGTAAAGGAATCGCTGATTGTTTGTTTGTTTGTGTTGATAAAATGAAGCGTCGCTAGACGGGTCTCACACTTAAAGTTCTTGTCCTGTCTTCGTCCGTGTGTCAGTTGTTTTAGTTTTGTCTCGTCCCAGGGAAAGGTACAAAAGCAGTGCTTCACCTTTTTCCTTCATGTTGACATCGTTTAATGTTTAACACCAATTACATATCGTTTGTGAAGAATGTTTTGTATATATACTCATATTTTTGTTTTGTTTTATACATACATGTAAAGGAACTGGATGTCAATGTGAAAATAAATTTGGAATTGATTTGAATTGAATTGAATGGGGGTGGGTGGGGGGGGGGGGTTGACAACACATTTTCCGACCGACAATCCATGCCCAAAAACTGGTCAGGATTGTTTCGGTCATCCGGTCTCTTTCAAATCAAAGAGGGGGGACGACCATATGGACCATCTTCCTATAGGGTGCGCTGTTCAAAACGAACGACTACAGGAACTTTCGGAGTATAGGTGGCGCTCTTCATGCCGTACACTCACAGACGGTCACATGAATTTTGCCCTTCGGGGACACAAACAATCAATTTAATTTGGTCGAGTGTACTAGGTGGCAGTGGCGTAAATCTGTGCCAGCGAGTGGGCGGTGGGGGGGGGGGGGGGATGGGATGACCAAAATCCAAAAATTGCCCCGCCGTAAAAATTAGAAAAGCGGGTGGGGCGCTCTTCAGGATATACCAATATGTATATACTTGCGCTTACATCAAAAAAGCGCATTTAAAAAGCTCTTGTACTTTGTTTCTCCACTTGTTCGAAATGATCGAAAAATACCTCAAAATCCGGGAATATATACCCCACCCCCGGGATTTACGCCTCTGGCAGGTGGTAAAAAGTTGTGACAATTTTCGAAAGTCATATGATAGGCGATGAGAAGGGGTGGGTGGGGATTCTTACTTAAGTAACATGAGGGTTTTGAAGACGGGGGAACTGGGATAGATGAATAGAACCATTCAGGGTGACTTGGGAATCCTACTTATAGGCCTACTTCAGTCTTCACTGACAATGAAATTACGACAATTAAAGCAGGAACATATATCCTGATTTTATATGATAAAAAATAATGCGAAATTCCTCCACTCACAAAATTTAAGTATTTCCCTCCTCATTTTCATCAACTTTCTCTATAGTCACCGATCAAACGTACGCCATAGCAATCGGAACTGAAGTTGCAAAAAAAGATCAATTCTTTGTGTGTTTTGTTAGTGTTCTGCCTGTGAGCCTGACGTTTTCATATTCGTTTCTGTTCATAAACATTAGAAATTCAGATATCCGACGATGTTTTCTATCGATAGTGTAACGTCAGAGACAATTTTCTCATGACAATAACACAAAAAGAGCCTATAATCACGTTTCAAGTCATTTTATTAAATACAACGCCAATAGTACTTTCCAAAAAAAGAAAGAAAATGTTCAAACGTATTCTATTCACACTATGGCATAATAATAGTTATTATAATAAAAATGGTCCATCCACTATGTACATTGATCCAGCCTCGTTCACGAACAAAACGAAATAAAAGCAGAAACATTGCAAACTAAAAACCACATGTACAACTTTACAAACTATGCCTACCATTTTGTTTTGTTAAAAAACCACAAACCACGGAATTATTTCACCACCAACTTTTTACAGATCTTAAAAAAGATATGCCTTACACTTATACGTTTCCAGTCAGTTTAGACCTAACATTCCAGCAGCATACACGATTTAGCTCATGCAACAAAGAGTAAGAAATATTTTTAAAAAGTGCGAAGTTATAAACCATCTCTTACCATGGAGAGGCGAGTACCCTAATGTTTAAATTTTCTTCGCTGCAAGAGAGCGAGCTACATATTGTACTCAGGTCAAACATGTAGCATTGGGTTATTCAAAAATTTGATGAAATTATTTAAAAAAACTTTTACAATCGCAGGCTTAATTTTAGGCCGCGTCTGTATCGGCTGCAATAGCCTTATTATTCGTCCATGGTTCACCCAAGCTAAACTCCACTGCGAGCAAAGAGCATAAAACCCACATAAAAGAATTTTTTTTTGCAATTTTAATCGCCTGATGGAGTACATTGCTTGTGAGCTGTTTTACTATTGTGTATGTAAAACTGAAAAACCTGAATATTGCTTGGCATATTCATAACATTGGACACAGTTTCACTATAGGAGTGCACGACGGGAACAAGACCCAACTGATGGTTTATTTACAGGAACAAAAGTACAGAGGCGTCAGTTGGTCACATCGACCAACCTGATCAAGTCAGGTTGGCGCAGTGGTTACTGTCCTCGCCTTCCACCTCTATGGCCCGGGTTCGATTCCTGCTCTGGTCCACATGTGGATTGGGTTTTCAGTCCCTGCCTGATTCCGTGGGTTTTCCCCAGACTATTCTTCTGGGGTTTTCCTCCCACCTCTAAAACTGTAATTTCTTCTCATTGTCTCCTCTCTGCAGGTTTCTTCATGCTTTGCGAGCTACAGTGCCTATATGGGGCTTTTGAGGATTCCTTGGTTTCAGTGCCAAAAATATAATAATAATAATAATTAAATAAAATGATAATAAAAAGGAAACGTAGTAAGTAACCACGAATTTGTGTAAATCTGTAACTGCAGTGCTAAAAGAGAACAAAACGGTTCGAAAGCCAGCGCTTTTTGTCAATGTCATAAAATAACTATACATAAAGAGTTTCACATTTTTAACAGAAAAGCAATATTATAATCGAGATTGAAGCTTTGTATGTTGGCTGACGAGCGACAAACCAACTTGTCGACAAAACTTGAGAGGTTTCATCCATTGGAATACATCCTTTAGAGAATCGCGACCAAACTTTCCTGTGCCCACTATTCTAGAAGATAACGCTGCCTACTTTTTGACTTTGATAGTTATGTACAATAATTTACTATAATTCAATTTCATTCCCGGATCGTACCGGTACCCGAGTCTGACCCGTATTCTGTGTTAATGAGTCTGCCCATCTAGGAATCAGAAGGACATAGTGCATGTATAGTGTTTTTCTTGCCTTCTCTTCGTGGCCCAAGTTCGAATGCAGCCTGGGCTGACATTGTGGATTGTGTGTTTTTTTTGTCTCTATACCTGAGTATTCGGAGTCATGTATTTTTCAAAATCCATTGAATAAGGTGAACATTTCACACTGGCATACCGCAATGGACAAGCAAGTTGCTTATGAGAATACCTTGGTTCCATTAGAAATAAACAATCATACTAAAGTGGCGGATCTACAGGGGGGGGGGGGCTAACACCCCGAGTTCAAGCTGGATCCGCCCCTGTCCTATAAGTATTTAACGGCGTTTAAATCGTGTGCCTTGTGAGGAGAATATCGCGTTCAACTTGGTAAAAACTGACACAACCTGAACATTTTGACGAATAAATTCATTAGGTATAATTTGAATCATTAACAATCAATTACCTGCTCACAAACCAACTGTCAGCCCAGCCAAGAATGCCTTGAATATGTTCCATATGTGCGATACTGACCCGCAAATTACCGTTACTTCAGTTGTGAATTTGTTCATTCCAATTTCAATCCTTAGAAAATTGAACAAAGACATCGACTGGAGCGGGGTTTGAACCTGCTACCTCCGGATTACAAAACTCCGCTGCTGCTCTACCAACTGAGCTAGCTTTCAAGCCCTACGTCGGCGGTTCTCCATTATGTCAATGTCTTTGTTTCAATACGGAGGCCTATACGAAATAAAACAAACCTGCTTCAGACTACGACTACAGTAATACAATTCGTTATATAGATAGACGGTCAGTCGTTTCGTTTCTAGCCGAATAATTTTCAAAGGCAAAAAGTGTTCTGAAGTTTCACCGATAATATGCCAGTTCGGTATTCCATCTGCGCAAGTACTCTACGAGGTTGACGATTTCACATCCTGAAAAAAACTGCAGATAGTTTCAGGGGGATGATATGAAACAGAGATTTCGAACTGCAATTTCAAGCAATTAATATGAAATGAAAATGTACTATTCCGGTAGTTCATATCTGTTGTGGCTACATGTTGTAAAATATGGTACGGTATAAAGATGTTCTTTTTTAATAAAAGATACTTCATCAGAACAAGAAATTCTTCAATTTCTTTAGTACGCTTTCTGATCATGCTCCCATAATTATCACAAGTTTTAGCCATCTGTAGTTGGAGACACTTGTAGATTCGGCTTATTCCCAAAATGTTACGGCTTCTATACACCCAATAAACTCTCTACAATAAAACATATCCATTAGCTTTATTTTTTCCTTGCTGTATAATTTCATGGTGTAGGCCTATATTGCATACTTCCCCACCTTTTAAAATAAACCAATCAGGCCCAGCCCACCAGTCATTCACTGTCTAGTCTACATAAGAAATGGCAGTTGAACGAGCCTTCAAAAGGTGATGGGAAGGTCTCGACTTTGAACCCTCCGCTCCGTAGCGTCTCTTCCGCCCTCTCGCGGCCCCACATGTTACCCAGCCCCTCACCGCCGGCGTGCAGCTGCACCGACATGCAGTGGAACATGCTGTTGGTGTAGAAGGTGGAAGCAAAGGGCATGTCCATGTTGTCGGCTATCTCAGAGCGAGCGTTGACTTCTAAGACGGACATGATGCCGCCGGGAGCGAGGATCTTACGGACCCGCTCAAGGATCTTCCCAGGATTGGCCATGTCGTGGATGGAGTCCCAGGCTAGGACGTATTTGAACCTTCCGGCCCAGTCGTCTGGGATGTCGTGCGCGTCCAGCTCCATAAAGCGAACGTTGTTGGTCAGCTGCCGATCGGCGGCTGCCTTGCTGGCTTCTTGCACGGCGTGGCTGCAGATGTCTACGCCTAGGATCGAGCTCTGTGGGAACGCCTCGCCAAGGATCAAACTGGCTCCGCCCTCGCCGCAGCCCAAGTCCAGCACTGATATACCCGACTCTGAAGACATAGACAACATTAAAAAACAAACAATTAAGTACGAGAAAATGACATTTTTTGGCAGAATTGTAGTCGAATACATCATTACATCAATTTAAATCACAAGTTCATTACAAGTCATATAGCAAGTCAATCACAAGTCATATTGCAAGTCAATCACAAGTCGCAACGTTATACGTAACAGGGATTGAACAATGATGCCTCTGCAGTCATTAACTTGAGTTTGGCCCTACTCACTGTTTTTTGAATAGTTATCTGAGTTCACTTGAGTAGCTTGAGACCTGATTCCAGTATAGCTTGTGACTAAATGGACTGTTCCGGATTTGGCTAAGTAAGCCCCGCCCACCTCTGGTATGTGAACATTTCCCACAGTGCCGGTGACCGAGGTAGACCGAGCTTCTGCAATCGCCTGACTAAAAGTCGTGATCTAATTGGTCAATGCACACTGTTTGATAGACAGGTATAGGAAGTGTGCGTTGGTTGGCATAAAATGTAGCTGGACTCTAAAGACTGAAAACAAGGTAAAAACCCCAAAGTTTAGAATATGGAAAGTCATCAAACCACCTGTCCTCATATCAATACTGCCTCACCTAGCATGTCTTTGAGTCCCGGTATTGTTGGGATAAATGTGGAGACAAGATGGCGATCCCACCATATCAACGAGCAGGCGTTCATGAAGCGATGAAAGTCACCGAAATGCTCGTAGGAAATACCTATAAATGATAAAATAAAGACAGAAAAACGTCACCAAACCTTCTCTTATAACAAAACAGTCAAAATACAGACCGGGGTTCTTTCGCACTCGAGAGCTGACAGGAAATCTCTTGTTGTTACGGATAACATCCGCCGATTGTTGTAGCTTTCGAGTAGTGTCCATTCGCCGTAGATTTGTCAGCCAAAATCGTGCCTAAAAATGCTATTTTTGAATACTTTTGGTTGAATTCAACTGACCATAAAAATCTAGTCATGTTAACATTTTTTCTAGTCAACCTGAACAGATTACAGTTTTTGAAATCTAACAATCACGTGTCACTGAAGTGGTTTCTTCACTGTAATTGATAACGGAACCATCTATACATGTAACAAAAATGTTACATGGCCCATTAATTTAATACGAAATTTAATAATCAATACATGTATTGAACATTTCACTGAATTTCTCTTAGCCAATTGATTTTATCTCCCGCAATTTTAATACATATCGCCAAGGTCTGGAGTTATCAAAGCTCAATGCAGAATCCTGCGTTTAATGAGCTGGAACAAGAGCTTTTGATGCTTCGCAAACCTAAAACGTACGTCTGCGTTCACTCTTTATTTCGGTCACTTAACATTATGTCCAGCCGTCTCAAGGTAGCTGGATAATCAGACCACTGACCTCTAAACTAACTTGACTGGCTGATATTGTTTTCTTAAGTCAACGTATTAAAGCAGAGTCCGCCATATTGGGGCACCTATGACGAACGCGCAGTAAAGTTGGTATTTGGATTTTTTTCAAGAGTTAAGACGGCGAAACTAAGAATGGTATTTTCTGGCTGGCTTTTGAGAGCAGTCCATTCCTAGGACTGGCCAACATCAAGAGAACAATTTATTATGTAGGGGGGATTTGGGAATTGTTTTAAGTGGGGGACAAACTCAACTATACAGATCTAGGCCTAGATGTTTGTGGATCCAAGATGGAGGATCAGTTGCTTCAAGTCGCACTGGCCACTTAACATGCAGTAGTCAGTATATATAGAGGTCGTTGAATCAGACACTGTTGGCTACACAACGCCATCTGCACAAACTCATACAAGCCTGATTTCCAACCAGTGATTTCCAAACCTAAATAGCTTATTGCTGTTTGATCTGAAGTCACCGCCCACCATATTAATACTTATAACAATGTAATTGTATAAAGCTGGGATTAAACTTTAGGTATCAACGTTATAAAAAGATAACTGATTTAAAGAAAAGCTATTTGGTAAATGTTTTATAGTCTTGCAGTGTCTTTTATTTGTGTACAACGGAGTTTGCGCCCTATCATGCGACGGGAGTGGTTTGGCGGCCGTGCGTGATGGCATACGTTATGGGGACCAATAATGAAAACCTGCAGGACCAACCTCTAGGGCCGTCTCGCTTGAAGCTGTCGATGATGTAGTTGAAGACCTTCCCCTGCATGGGCAGGGCGGCGGCCAGGATCGTCAGCTCGTAGCCCAGCCCCGGGGTGGTTAGGAAGATGGCCCGGTGCGGAGGGAGAAAGAACCGCTTCCCACTGGCGTCCATATTGACGATACGCCCGGTCGTCATAGCCCCAAGCCATTCTCGCACGTACCTGCAATGTATCAAATAAAAAAACAAATAAAAATCATTCCCCAAAATGTCAACAGCTCTATAAGCGCTCGGTTATCCAATTTGCCCCTCGGTTCGAGGGGCGCGCGCTCCCAATTTGTCCGGATCGCAGCTTGGCATTGAGGCAGTTAAAAATTGAAATAAGTCGCTAATTGGTTTTTCGGTTGCCTTGTAATTCTGTTAAATCGAGTGGACACTCTGTTAGGCGTGGAGGGAGAATCACGCACATGCTGAAACTGTGCAAACCATGCATGACTTTGTTTGCATTTTAATGGCGAAACGTATGCCTTTTTTCTTAAGGCCATCATGAAAAAGAAAGAAAGAACATGAGTAGATTTGATTTAATGAAGGGTGAAATCTCTTTAAGAAGCCATCTCAATATTTCAACAACTGCATACTAAAAATAATGCCATTCAGACAACTTTATAAAGACTTTTCCCCGAAAACTCGAATGGAAAAATATAAATGTTATTTCCTCGTCATAATGCAATGTGGTTGCACATTCTATAGCATTTGAAAATAAAAACTAGTATAGCTGCATGTAGGCCTATGTTTCGTCATAGCCAGGTTAAGGGGGAAAAACTTGAAAAATATAACAATTTTTATTGAAACACAGACCACCTTCATGGAATGAAATACACTGAATCTAACCATACATCGTAGAAATACTCCAATATTCGCTCGGCTGACCTCATTGAGTCTTAGTTTCCAAGTAATTTGATAATCATAATAAGGAAGACATTTGGAGAATAAAGTCAACCCTCTTAGCTGTATTTTCTGGGAGGGAAATCTTGGGTTATGCATTCGGCGGCTAAGAACACGCGGGGATCGGTTACATCGTTTGTGTACCGCAGAATCATTTTACCGCGTAAATTCATTTTATTCGGCTCGATCGGCTCCCGCTATATTCGGCAGATTACACAGTCTAAATTTACTCAACGACCAGGCATAACACTTAGCTTTGTAGGCTGCGATTTACCGGATCGATTGAGGAGGCCCGGGCGAGAAGGCGACCCGCAGACGAACTCGGCTCGTCGGTAAACACAAGGAGATTCATTTCAAATTTTCTTTTTTCAAAATCGTAAAGGCGGAAACCGAAGTTGCCAAAAATTTACCAGAGCCGCATTTTAGCTATATGAAGCTGAACAATACGTGAATGCTAAATGCTTCAGGTTGCTGAAATATAAAGACGTTAACTTGAAAGCCTTTTTAAAATTGGGACAACTGTGACCTTCAACTTGGAGCAACTAGCATCGATCGTGTAATAGGACTACCGTGTGTCCGTTTGCCAGTTATAAAAATAGACTTCGTTTACTACACTAAAGCCGTAACTTTTCCAACCAGTTTTTTTGTGTTGCAAACTCATGCAGAAGGCGGCCAAGTTTTACATAAAAAAAATCAAAGAAAACTTCTAAGTTTTTAAACTGCCTGGCAACTATGTATAGAGTACAACCAAGTAATGACAAAAGCCTACATGAGATAGGCCGTTAATCTTCTTCCATCTTGAACGCTCAAGCTGAGAACGCACAACGGTTTAAGGCAAATATTGGTACAGACCACGCTTCATAAGTACAAAATGGTGCTTCACGTTTGTAAACAAACAACAGAATGGTACTTGGATTCTACAAAAAACGAGGCGTGTGGGCAACAAGATGAAAACGTAGAGAGCGTTTTCTTCATAGAGGGTCAAGATCAGGTCATCATCATGAAAAGTATATGATGTGACAACGTCTTTAAGCATTCCTAAACTTTCCAAGCTGAAAATACAAATGCCCAAAAGACAACCTTTCTCACAGGTTTTTTTTCACTCTTGGTTTCGACAGCAGGCTCAATTCAATTTTATTTTATTATTTCTTTTCATAATACGCTGAGAATGACAATTAGGCACATAAATCCTCAACAAGAATACGATTAACGAGTCAGGTTGGGGTGCCGAGTTTTCCCCCTCAATTGATTCCGACAGAAATTCACTCCAAAAAGAGGTGTCAAAAGCATTCACAAAAGCATCAAAGAAGTTAACGATTTTATATTGACAGAAACAACACGTCATTAGTCGTGGCTGGGTGGAAATGAAGCCTTTTTATTGTCGTGTTGTCGACCGTCAAGCCAGCCCGTGTGTGGAACGAATAAACTTGACCGAATCAAATAAGTCAACCGTGTGTCTTCAATGGCATCAAGCTCCGCGCGGCAGCCTCCACCTGCTCCGAACACCACAAACAAAAAAATAACAAGCTGCCAAGAAACTTTCCCAAAAGATGTTGGAAGAAAAGAAAATTGTATACAATGTTGATCCGAGCTAATCAGGCTTTCTGGAGTCAGTTTGGGTTTCACAGGGTCATTATTGACCAAGTATCGGCCCATTATTTGTAGGACTTAGTGAAGCATCATTCAGTCAGTCACCAGACATACACGGAAAACAGCGTTAAAGCGGCTGGTGGCATGCAGTTAGCCAACCCAACCCCAACCCCCCAAAAACCCAACAAATGATGGGAAACCAACAAATATGAAGAGTGTTTTTCTTGTTTTGATTTTGTTATTACAGGGGCGATACGGTTGCTACCTGTTTACCGGAAAGAGTCCACCCAAGTTGAACGGAGCGACAATTTTGGAACAAAAGGCAAATGTGAGGGCTTTCATAGCGAGAACTCTGCGCGCCTGCCCATGACGCGTGACGAGGCAAAATATGGTTGGCCTTGAGTTTGAAGATGTCGTCAATGAACGAGGGGGCAACTGAACAAATTTATAGCTGGAATGTAGCTTTTCAATTTATGCGGTTGTTTACTACGCTGGTTATGGGATTCCAGATACTGAAACTCAATAACAAGCGCTCAAAAACAAGTGCTGAATAACAAAAGAAAAGTGGCGTAGGCTTAGAACAATATTCTTCACGAAATAAACAAGTGCGGTTCAAATTCTGGTTATTGCACTGTTGGGAAAATGGAAAGGTTGCAGACGTACCTGAAATTATTGAGGTGGTTCTGAAAATTTAGGCAGAGACTGATTATGAGGTCGATCAAACGAAAACTGCAATGTCCGAAAGACAACTATATGAAACGCCGTGTCAGAGCAGGCAGTGGTAGCGTGCAGCTCGACGCCATTGGGAAGAGGCTGAGGTGGATGTTTTGCACAATATCCTCTGAAGCGCCCCCAGTTCTACCCAAATAAAGTACTTAAAGGTCTTGAATTACCTACTTGGTCTGTATCTAAGAAAGCACGCCAGAATCTCCAGATACCACGAGGGAACTTAATATTTACAAAACAAAAAGGCATTCTGTAGCTACTCCATGTAATTGAAGACCAAGAATGGTGCACTTGAAATGAGTTATTCTTAATATATAGGAAAACTCGATCAGCCCAGAGACGCAAACACTAAAAGCACAACAGTGGCGGATCTACGGGTGATTTAGGGGGTCTAAATTATCCTCTACGGCCGCAAAAAAATGCCTGCTAAACTCCCTATCGGCAGCTAAACCCCTCCCCCTTCATCCAAACTGGACCCGCCCTTACATCATATTACTGGAAACATGTTGAAACTTAAATAGGGGTCTCGTGCTGACACAGAAGGCGTATTCGAAACCCCGTTCTCGTGTTCAATGACGGGAACCAACACGCGAACAGTGTTGGCGAACAAGATATTCACTCCCCATATATTGGGGAGTAGATGCAGAACGTCAAGAACAAAGATGGCGGACTTCGGCCCCTACTGGAACTTGCGTTAATTTTTTGTGCATGAAATTTAAAGCACTCATGCAGTGCAGGAGCAGTAATAATAATAAAAAAAGGATTGTACGTGGTTAAGGAGTGGACTTTTCAGCCTTGTCTTTGCCAATGTTAAAGCTGTTCCGGGATTTTCGTATCACCAGTTATCCCTTCTGTTCATTCAGCGTTTTAATCATACGGCGGCTGCCATCTTAACTTTTCACCCACCGAGAACACTGTTCGCGGGTCACTCGGAACGGGGTTTCGAATACATCCAGAGAGTCCCACACAAGGCTAAAAGCACAAGATTGGTGTGGGTGGACAAATGTGGTACCCAATACTTTTTTTTTTTTTTTTAAGTCTTTCCCCTAACATCCTGCCACAATGTCATGCCACCTGACTGATTTCTCCATCTTTGAAACGTTGGTCATGACGTGTGTACTGGCCGTAGTGTACTCCATGTGGTTGTAACTGAAAATCACTTGGCCCCACTCTCTGAACAGAAACCTCCAACTTACATACCTACGACCTAATCTTTACCTCAATGACATAGGCCTATGGAGGATTTTTTTGAATAAAAAGAGAGAGTAAACTTGGCCTGATAGTGTTTTGTGTGTTTTTCTGCACTCGCGACTCTATCTATAGGTATTTATATAGTTTGGTTTACTCGTATTCTGTTAACTCTGAGGTCAAATTGTCCAGTAGAAATTCTGTCTCAAACAGTTTATTTCTTGATGCTTCAAAAGAAACTTAAGGAACGGGAAGAAATTGGCCAAAACGACATTTCCGGTTAACTGTCAGAGGAAAGACGATAAGTTAGTTCTCCTATCAGTTGTCGCCAATCTCGCCATGGCTCACCCCAATTTTCATTCCTCCTTCTTGTTGTTTGTTTTTCTCCCTTTAAACCCCCGACGACGTGGCCTAGTTTTCCGTACCAACCAAAGCCAAGGCCATCAGAAGTTTGATCTGAGCTTGAGCCGGACGAGAATGGCTCGGTATATGCCTTTATCCCTCGGGCAAGGCTTAAGAAAATTCCCCCTCGCCTTTAAATCGCTCCTCAAAAGCCGCTTTCCCGACACTCGGTTCTCCATTGTGTCATTTTCTCCCTCTTTTCTTCCGTCCGGAGCGAGGTGGAAAAAATTGAGAAAGGAAAAACCCAAACCCTTCTTTTGTAAGTTGGAAATAATACCATCATGGAGAGCTTAGCGAGTATGTGGAGTAGTTGGGATGTTTGAGCGCGAGATTGATTGGGGACTTAACAGCATCGCCAATTGGCGAGGCGAT